AATTCGATTATTTTAAGCGCATATCATTGTCGAGATCGAGCTCCCCATAGGAAGACAAAAGATCGCTCAGTTGCAAACACCTTTGACAAGCTTCCGGGGATCACCAATTTGCTTGTTGCACTAAAACGGTTCAGTGCGTTCGACCCGCATTCTGAACCATTCGGTCCCGGATCTTGCGGTATTCACAGGCTGGTTAACTTGCGGCATGTATGGGGAAGGTTACACAATGGTGGACTGTGGGAGTAGTGGATAGAATTAGGTATAACGACCACTCCATTACTATTACCCATTACTGTCTGGTGGCGCAGGCAAGAAAATTGACCCCGTATAAACCTACACTAACAAATACCACAATACCAATAATTCTCTTATCATCCGTGTGACAGATGTCACAGCCCTATTTCCAGAATACCTAACTCATTTCCTAAATCTTAACTTCCGTGACGTTGCCGTCGTTTCCGCCAAAGCGGCCACGTCGTCATACTGCATCCAGCCGCCCACTGGATTTTCCTCACCTGACCCCTCCCCCCACCACCACCACCACCAACCAGCCCCCTGTCCCCCTCCCCCGGCATCCGTCCGGGAGCCCTTCTCGTTCGCGCAGGTGGCGCCCGCCCCGCGCTGCCTCGTCTCTCAGTAGGTCAGACACTGACTCATCGACCTTGAGATTGACGTACGGGCTACGGCTGAGCGGCCACCGTGGTCTACGGTGGGGTGCCTACCCGGGATTCCCTGTTCAATACACCCTGGACCGGGCGAGGGGGATGGAGGGAGGGAGGGAGGGTGGTCAAGGATGTCCTCCAATCTCAACAACAACAACAGGACGCCGCTGGGACCGCCCGAGGCGTTCGGTGTTCCTCAGGGCAGTGTCATTGGCCCCACACTGTTGTGCGCGGCGTGTCGCCGACCCTGACCGCAGTGAACCGGACACAGGCGGATCTGGGAACTGTTCGACCATGACACGCGGTATCCGGCGCAGAATGTGTGTGTGCGTGTGCGCGTGGCTCCGGGAAGGTGCCGGTGAAGGTCAGAAGAGGGAGGGGAATCAAGGGAGGGTGAACAAGATCCGGGTCGCCGTCCGTGGCACTCACCCCGGTCCATGACCCAGCGTGGGCCGCGAGTTGCGGCAGTATGGCGTGTGTGTGAGCCACCGGAGAGGGGACAGAGTGTCAGGTCCGGCATCATACATCGACCTCCACAGGGCCGCGCCCGAGGGAACATTGCGTGAACGACTCCCGGATCCGGCCGTGGCTGTGTAGCCACACCGAGGCGCTGATTTGTCGGTGCTAAAGGCGATTGGTCACGGGGGCGCACAGCTGCATGGTTGCAATGAGTGTTGCTCAATCTGTGTTGCACATTCTGAAGTGCAGAATATAATGAGCGAAATGATGCCATACAGGGGATGTGTCTGCTGCTTCATGAATAAAATTGTCGGTCATGGTGCATGTGTCTTATTCAATTTAGTTGGTGAATCATGCCATGATAAATATAAAATACGATGGTAATTAAAAGTTGAAAATTATAGTAAGGCAATGATATTTATGAAAGTTGATTTTGTGCAAAAGCTGAAACAGACTCTTTCCGCGTTCAGGAAATCGCATGCGAGAGCCTATTCAAATACATTATAATTCTTCTCGCATCAATCGCTTGCCGGAGGTGCGTGCGTTTGATGCGAGCGTGCTTCCATGTATTTGAATAGGCTCTCGCATGCGATTTCCTGACTGCGGATAGAGTCTGTTTCAGGCTTAAGTGTCGCATAAACCTTCGCATAAACCAAAAGGAGGCCTTTTTAGTTCGCCCTACATAACATTACAACGATTCTACTGCCATACGTGCCGGAAGAGCAATATATAAGCCGGTTCTGAACGGGCAGCGTGAATGATGTCATAATCGTTCGGTCATATCTGACTACCCACTACGTCATAGCTCGCTCGGGCGGTTAGGCATCTGCGGTTTCGGCCGATATGGAATACAATCACACGGGATTCCACAGAAGACAGCATTGCTCACGGGTTAAGAAGTCGGTCAAGGCTGACAGCTGGGATAGATCCCCGCCTATTTTAATTACTCCGAATGTGCCCCTTGCGTGCTCAGGTAGGCTCAGATCTGAGAGCACTTGACCTCAGCAAACCACTGATCTGATCCTCGTTCTACAAAACAAAAGGCGGCATTCACCGCCGCACCAACAAGACACCGTGATCATGACACTGAAGCCACCACAAGGTGAAGGTATTAAGGTCAGTCTGAGACCAGATCCCCTCCGCTAGTCCCCTGCAGGTCACGGTCAAACCACACATCGCTCCCCTCTGATTTCCAACTCGACAGCATCCCAAAACTACACCCGGGGTGCAGGACGGACATCTACCCATCTGGAAATCCCACACAACCCTCGAGGACAGGGGACGGTCAAACGTCTGAACGCCTGGAAAGACCGTCCTGTCCAGGGTCATTGTGATTGGCCAGGGACGGTATTCGTGGTTGGAATAGCCGTGGTCTTCCTACAGGCACGTTCAGTTGGTCTGACGTTGGTTGGTAATGTCCTGGACATGAGCGTGACCGAAACACCGGGGAGCTGGCCGAGCATGCTGGAATTATTCACCAAAACGGCAACACTGAGGGGTGAGTGTGTGTGTGCTAACTGAGTGTTGAAGACGCGTTGGAGTTTAATCGTCGACGTGCCGGGAAGGGCATTTTTACGCTCCCCTCCAAAGGTTTTACGTGAATATCGCAGTACATGTTTGACAGTTTTACAAGATATTTCTAGGCCTGCAAGAGTATTCTCGCCAAGCATCACGAGCTTCAAGAGCACAAAGACGCGATTAACGGTCATATGACGTGGCATTCGATGGCTTAATTGATTCAAACTTGAAATCAGGGCCGTACTTGAAACTTAGAAACAGTGAGTTTCAGTATACCTATAACTGGAGCGGAAATTTGACTCACGAACACTTGACACCACCGGAATTTCAGCAGATGCATCCGTTTCCCTAAGAATGCGCAACGTTTAATTGCATAGTCCGACATTTTCCTTATACCTAGTCAATGGAATTGCAACGCCGTGCATGTCTGCATGTTCCTACCGCGTACTCCAATTAACTTTTACGATTCACAAAGAGCCTCCTTTACCTAGATGCAACTAAACCAATTTTACTTCGGGTAAAAACGTGTTTCATTTACCATGGAATGATATCCAATCCTTTCCACGGGCGGGCATCACTGTGGTAGCCGGTAGGTAGCCGAGGGACAGGTGTAAAGAACCACTATATTTTGCCAGAGATGCTTATTGTTAACACTTCATACGCCTGCTATGAAAGTTCATGATAAGCTATAATCAACATGGCTAGTTACTCCCAGCAAAACTCCTGACCGATACTTACTGAGCAACCTAGTTTTGGCGAAATCGAACAGATTTTTTACTCGGGCCAAGCATAGGGGAGGAAAGCCAAGCGCTTTTCCTGCAGAAAACTAGGCTGCCAAGGCGTCCGCAAAAGTAAAGAATGTGCTGGATTGATTTCTCGTGATTGGTTTGATGTGAGGATGTCGCACCAATACAAAACCTACAATCGGCAGTCCAGTGCACTGTAGTTTTACGATACGAAAACAATTTTTTACGATACCGATGATGTCATAATAAAAGATGCACCTCTATGTCCATGCACGGCATCCAGTTTTCCTCCACGACCTACATTCCCTCATGACGCTTCACGTACCTAAGTCATGGAAATATGCCATCTCAAAACAGTATAGGCCTGCCCCGGAAACTCCATGTACCACTTCCAGGATCATGCGTGGGAAATTTGTGACCAGAGGCCTCTTGCACCAAACTACCTAGCTAGGTAAAATCGAAAAAACCGGTTTCAGAATAAGCTAATCAAACGGTGGTAAATTTGTTTGCAATAGCCCAATATATAATCCTACAGGTGCTTGGTAATTTTACACGCAAATTGTCACATTTGAGTCTTGGATTGGGTATACGATGCAAAATAATTCAAGCATTGGTGCAAGAGGATTCTGGTGCAAGAGGCCTCAGAATGCCATCAATTTTGGTAGTGACCTACCGCGTATGCTCAAGAGTCCACTACCACATTTAATTGCAATAATCTCCCTAATTAAGCTCGACCTCCGATTGATTCGAAAACGTATGAAAATGTGCCAAGCGCACATATCAAACAGCATTCTCTCGTTCTCGAAAATTAGTTCATGGCTGCACGGTATGAAATGAATAGAGAAGGGACATTGCGCCCTATCATGCTGACCGCGATATTGGAGAGCTCCGTTCATCTGGGCAACATCTGGGTGGTAGACGGTAGCAGATGTTTCAAAGGGACGTCATCGATGACACCCATGGCGGAGAGGGGACCAATTAACACATCGCACCGTGTTGTGACGTAATATTGCATAATGTCATCGAATCAGTCAACAGCCAGTAAAACATTCATCGAGTGCCTATATTTTTTCTTCAAACCACATTCTGTTTCCAATGACCATAACTTCCCATAAACAAAGCGAATGAGGTGGAAGATAGCTAAAAGGCGAATTAGGGCTAAAAGGTAACTGAAGAAAAAAATAAACAAAAATAAATAAATAAATTATTCTGTGCACGTGCCCTAGATATGCTGCATTACCGGGTTTTCTTTAGTCAAACTATTCTTATCGTCATAATGCTATCCGCTTATTTATCCTTCCGCTCCAGCGCCTTTAAGTACAAAGACTTCCTTGCCGTCTACCAGTCCTGGTTACCGGTTTCCAACTAAGGTCAGGGTCACTTCTATCCCGTTCATACCCTGCTCATCACATCTGCCAGACGATTGAGACATACCTACTCGGACCTGCCTCAGGTGACCTCCGTTCTGACCTCCGTTCACCGCCGCAGACGCCCCCAACCGGATCTTCCCCGGGGCGGTGTCACCCCCTACCTTCCGGCGAAGTTACGCTCGCGCGCTGGGGGGTATGACGTCACACCTGGTCAGAGAGGTGCGCTGGATAAAAGAGAGAGTCGCTGACGGCGGACGGTCAGTGGCGGGACGGAGGTGAAAGGGAGAGTGTCGGGAGACGGTGGGCAGACGGACCCAGAGGACGGGAGCACACACACGGTGCGGGACAGGACGCGGTCAGGTTAGTCAAAGGGGATTATAGCAACCGATATCAATTAATAACATAGCTTACTTTTATCCATAGATAAATTGTTCCAATGAAAAGAAATGTTGTTTGGAGAATAATCTGAAATGAGACTTCCGATACCGGACTACAAATTAGTCTTCTTTGGCAAAAACATCTTTTCATATTCCCCGTAAGTTGTAAACGCAGCATATCAAATGATGCCAGCATATTTATTTCGCTTTGGATTTCTATCACTGCATTGGTTTCGGTATACAACGCCCTACAATTAAGCATTTGATTAGGTCCTAATTTCTTTGCTCCATTTTGCGTCTTTACACGTTATAGTTCCTAGCCAAAGCAAATCACGCGTACCGGCTAAGGAAGTCAAGCAATGCTTTCAGAAGTCAACAATTATTTTCTAAATCAACTCATTTGTGATAGCGCAGTGAACCGTAAATTTGTTATACCGTAAATCAGTTCTGTTAAATTTGATGCTGAAAGTTTTATGAGTAGGCAATAATCCGTCGCCACTTACGCAAGAAATGTATCGATTCGGTATATTTGGTATATTCGGTTGCCTTATTTGACAGCATACCATTGCAGCTATTCAATTTCGCAGTCAACAGTCACCAACCACTTTCGCCCATCGCATAGCTCGGCTCGATTTCTCTATGGCATCACCAGCAGGGAAATGGTTAACCTTCAGCCGTTCACTCCACGAAATCATCCATTTAGCAACATCTCCAACGTACGATGGCCGGCTGCAGTTGCACCATAGCGTGCTCGTATTGACGACCTGTCAAACCGGCTTTGGACGTGATCTGTCCTCCCAGCTGTTGGGAGCTGCCAGTCAGCTGATTGGTGACGTCACAGGGTCAAATGTGTCACGTAATTACGAACAAACTGTAACGGTATCGTGTGTAGGAGGCAGAAGCTAGTAGAGAATAACAGGCGACCTTGGCCCCGTCCGGCCTGTGAATGCCGAGGGGTGGTCGAGAACGGCACAAGTTCTGTTGTTTGAGGAGCGGAAAATAGGTCGTCTGGAAAAAAAGGTCGCAGATTCGGACAAAGAAATGCAGCGTGATGCTGATCCTTAGTCACTTTGATCTTGACCGTAACTTACCAATAAATTTGCAAATGAGCACAAACTCAAATGTAAATAAATCCGAAAAAAAACAAAATTAAGTCAACCTTATATGCTCTAACACAACAAAACATCAATAAGCCTGTAGACACGAAACACCGCCCAGTTCTTCCTGTCCTTTTCCCAGCGCTTTCTCGCTCCCCTTTGGGCAGGTTATCCGGCTTTCGCCGTCCACAGTGCGCTGTTATCATCGTCCCCCCCACACAGGTTGTCGGGGTGAACCCACGCTGCCCTGGGGCACCCGAGGTGGTAGCTGGAGCACCTCCTTGGAAAGGTTTCTCCCGCCCACGGCAGCTCTCGATAGCGTATAACGATAGAAGGAGGGGCCCATGTGGGTGGGGAAAACAGGCGTAGGTGTGGTATGATGGCGAGCCAAAACAACGCCTTAGATGGGGTTGCATTGGTGAAACTTACACGTGATCCTGTAACTCATGAGCTCCCAATATCGGTCGTACAGTTTCGAGGTCCAAAGGATGCGTTTTTGTGAGTGACTGCAGTCTCCCCTTACCGTGCTGTTCGCCCGTGCAGTCTCCGAGGGGACGCGGTTAGTTTCTTGTGCGCGGCTGCAGTCTCCCAGCTATCGGGTTATGTTCTCATGCTTTGCTGCAGTATCCCGGGCCGTCTGCTTTGTTTTACTGCTGCATCGTGCAAGATGTGCATTTGTAAGTTTTGGTCTCGTTTCCGGTGTAATTTCTTGCTCTTCCTTGTACTTATTATACGAATTTATATTCGTAATTGCCGGTATTATCCCATCAATTTATACGGCCACTGAGTTTCCCGGTGACTGCACCCGAACATCGCGCACAGGTGCATTTATAGCTTCCATGGGGTTGAGCAAAAACCTTGTGACGATACTTCTTAAGCATAATCAGATTAGTTAGGTAGCTACACATGCTACTTCTGATAACGCACGTTAACTAGCTTTAAACAAGCTTCGTAGTCTGTAATTTAGAAGATCGACCGCATCTCGTCGAAAGTCTCAGGGAAACGGTGATTTCCCGACATATGTCATCTAAACAATCGCCTCATTCAACCGCAAATGTCTCCAGTGCGCAGCGCCACAATTGCCACCGCAGGCTCGTTTCGCGTCACGTTTTGCGGCAATGGCGCCAAGAAACGGCGTCAGGCCGGGGGAACCTGGCATTAACGTAGCCTTTAGTAGATATAAAACTTTATCGGAATTCACTGGGATTGTATTGCGTATGCAAGTCCAAATATTTCGGCCAATATTGTTTGGCCTTGGTCACTGGACAACTAGAATAACCCTATAAGTATAGCTCATCGCTGCAATGTGAGCTATACTTATAGGGTTATTCTAGTTGTCCAGTGACCAAGGCCAAACAATATTGGCCGAAATATTTGGACTTGCATACGCAATACAATCCCAGTGAATTCCGATAAAGTTTTATATCTACAAACATAAACCTGGGAAAAAATATGACTCTAAAACAGCACGTAGCCTTTAGTGTACTGCGGAAAACGTGGTGGGAAAATATCCTATTTGAGAGTCGTTTGTGAGATTGTTAGCCACATTACTCATGTTTAATAGCTTAACAGCTTACATGCGCATAGAAAGCGGGCATGATTAATGCTGTCTTCTCCGCGAAAAGCCTTTCGCCAGTTTATTGGTTTCGAATACATGACGAAAATCAATTACAAATCAGTTAATTCTAATCAACATCGTACTTACTGCTTAGACTGTATGAAAGGAGGAATGAAATTGATAAGTTGATGCTGGAAAACTAAGCCAAATGTGGTGCTTCGCTAATGCACTATAGCTTCACGATCAAGGTGTGTTGCATGCGACTGTCCCGTTCCGAAATTCAAAGCATTTTTTTTCTACAGTTAATCCATGTTCAGCATTTGGGAAGCACATGATCTGAATGATCGACCGAGCCGATTCGACTCTCCTGTGTTTCTGCTCCCATAAAACACTGCCTCGCCTAACCCAAGCCAATGAGGCACGCGATCCATACCCGCGGGGCTGCACTCTGCAGTCTGCACGCAACTCGTGCCCCACATCAGCTGCCCACGGGGATCCGTGATTTAGTTCAGCACGCGAGCAGGTCAGGGCATGGCTGGGGGCTCGATTCTGGTACAGTCGTGCTGCATTCGGCGAGCGCTTTCCATTATTGCACAGGCAGAGTGAAACTGATCGTGGGTTGGAGCACGAAAGGGAAATTGATGGGAGGGTATTCACTATTCATGTAACGGGCCATGATATATCTCCGACTAAGTGAATCAAGTCCAATTTAGCTTGTTTAGCCAGTCCGATTCAGCCTATCCTTTTAGTTTTTTTTTCTACCTTTCAATCGAGTAAATGCTTCTTTCCTAGCGTGTTTTCCTCCGTCATTATTATTTCGGCTAGGAAGTTATTCAAGTCATACTGCAATACCTCGTCCATCCAGTTTGGTCCGATGCCGTCATATATGGGACAGATGGCCAGCGGCGATCAACAAGTCATACACACCTAACGGCTACTTTCTCTGTCAGCGAGATGATGCCACTTCAAGAGGTTGGAACTGAGCCAGCCACTCCAGATCCAGATCACTGATCAACACAGAAACCTTCTGAGGACTTCTTCACCGTGAATGAGATTAAATGAAATTTAAATGAGATTCACGACACCGTGAATGAGATTAAATAAAGCGATGTCAATAGGAGCGGTAAAATAACGAATCAAGAAAAGGTTTCCAATGATGCAACAATGAACATCTCACGTAAAAACACATTAAAGAGCAATTTAAAAGAGCTATATCATAAAAATCGAGACGAAGTGCATTATGCCTACAAGTTATAGATGTTGGTCGTAAAAAAAAAATACTTAACGATACATAGCTACCGATTTCTAAGCTCCCAAACATGTCACGAAAACAATGCATGCGCCTAGAGTCATTGGCGACAATCCAAACCGAATCATCGGTTATTCATGCACCATACCCAGTATGGGACGTTGAAAGTGAGCGCATGCATGAACAATCGAACACGAACCGCCTCTGTCGCAGAGACTCACTGGTTTTACTTTCTACACTGCACGTGCGCTGTGTCCACCGCTGACCTTGCGTACAGCTGCTATCGAACAGACATCGTCTCAGATGTCGCCTATCAGACACATGGTCCAGAGTTCCCTTTCGTTCGGTGACTGGGGTAAACACTGCTCTCGTAATCTCGGAAGCCCTCAGGCGTCAAAAGCCGACCATTGTTCTATGACGTGGAAGCTGTAATCGCGGCCAGAAACTGGAACGGTCGCCGGGACTGGACGGTTGTAGTCTGCAGAAGGGAAACTCGTTCCAGGCTCTTTCCGGCGTTGTGTTATTTCACGGCATGCGGCTGTGGTTGTATTGCACAGAGTGGCGACCTACCGGTTAGGCAGACTGGATTCTGACCGATTACAAATCCTCCTCTGAGCGATTCCATTGGTGGGAAGTGTCAGGAAATCCTCAAAGTCAGGAAATTGGAACTTGAGTCGCTCAAGTTTCAGAAGGTTATGAAATATTGGATTGAGTGAAACCAGCTGAACGTTAGAATCGTTGGACAGTGGTCACATAGGCATAAGAAACACATTCAGACGCACAAAGCCCGTATGCGGAAAAGTCGTAATCTACCCATCAGGTTCATCCTTCCCAATCGCCCCCCCCCCCCTTTACTTCTGTGTTCCGCCCGATGCATTTCTCCACAGCTACTAGGCTCGTTCCTAACTTGTAATATCTTCTTTGCAGGCCACTCACGATGAAGCTGCGGAGTTTAGGCCTCGTGGCCGCGCTGCTGTTGCTAGGCAACGACAGCGCGTCTGCCGAGTGGGTCTGGGGCAGCCGCTCCTCCAAGTCCCTAAAAAACACCACCGACGTGCCGGTCACGGCAGCTTCCACTGTTGAAGCAGCGTCTCCACTTGAAGAACAGGTGGTGGATGGTATCATTGGCGCCGAGGACACGTTCGTCGCCTTTACGGAGAAGCCGGACACTCTGCCGGTGGCCACGTTGGTCCAGGGAACCAGCGGAGACTTTGTCGCAGGTGAGGGAGCGTGGCCGCGAGTACATAAATGCAAATACCGGCTAAATCTTATACTGATTGGTAGTTTCATTGCCGAAAAAAAATGCGTAGATGAAACGAAATTGTTCTGTAAAATCAAGGCCGTGCGTAAGCATGTCTCTATCAAATGTCAATGAGCAGTCGACATCAAGTCGGGTGAATGACCAAAGCCACGTTTCGGTCATCAGTTAGGGTCGTACAGTCACGACTATCCGATCTCCAGCCGAGCTGGGAGAAAGTGGCCACGGTGCCGGCATGGGGATGTGTCAATATTTACCGTGTCAGTCGTGTGTGCTCAGCCATGGCGGCTCAGAGAGTCCGAACAATAACCGTGTCAAAAGACTCTTTGTCCTGAATCTGTTCTGAATTTCCGCCAAAATAGAGTCAACATTTTCGCCGTTACTGTCAGAATTATCATTGATACGAATTCTGCACTCGAAGACGTCAAGCTCGGTTATCGAACATAATGCTGATTTCCCGGCTATCGCGAATATAATTTTGTCCTCCTTTCATCCATTCGTTCGTTCATCCATTCAATCAATCAATTAATCGATCATGACCTCTTGCACTACTTCATTCATTCATTTATTCATTCATTCACTTAACGATTCAATTATCCATTCATTGATTCGTTAAATTCATTACTTGCATTTTGTCTAATAAACATACACAAAATAATCACCCCCCCCCCCCGTCATCTTTCCCCAGACCCAGTGGTGGAAGGCAGCGCTCGTCAGGCCAAGGTGATCGCCGAGGAGACTTATGACGAGATCTACAGCGACCCCGAGGTGCAGGCCGCCCTGGAGGCGGGCAACGAGACCCAGGCGCGCACCTTTATCAGAGATAAACTGTGCTTCCTCGGACTGGTGGACGTGAGTTGGGGAGAGGGAGGGAGAGGGGATAGGAAAGAAGGGAATGGAAGGAGAATAAGAGGGGAAGGAAGGAGGGAGAGGACAAAGAAGAAAGAGAATGAGGGAAGGAGCGAGTAGGGCAACAATAAAATATCGATGTTCAATCATGGGTGATGTCAGCAATTATGCCGAAATGTGGTTGGCAATGAAGCCGACGTTTATACGCATCTAGCCTAGTGAACGAGTTTAAATCATTTAGTTAGTTTAACAGACCACTGTCGACGCCTCCGGCCCCCACTGACAGTGCCCTGTGTCTGTCCGTTTCAGTGCGAGGAAGACATCCCTCCCCCTCCGCCGCCGCACCGGCCGTTCCTGCCGCCGCGGCCTCCCCCTCCGGGCGCCGTCCAGCTGGTGCAGCCTGTCCGCCTGCAGGCACACGGCCCTCCCGTGCAGGCGATCCCGCTCGGGCCGGCGCCCCCGCCCGTGCTGCCGCCTCCTCACCCCCACGGCGGGGGATACCCGGGACCGATCAAGTCGCACTACCAGCCGCCCAAGCCTTCGTATGGTGTCCCGAAGCCGAGCTACAGCCCGCCCAAGCCGAGCTATGGGCCGCCGAAGCCGGCGTATCACCCGCCGCCCAGCAATGGATATGGACCTCCCAAAGGAGCGTACCCGGCTCCGGTTAACAGCCACTACAGCCCTCCCAAGCATCACGATAGCTACAGTAGTCACGGCGGTGGGCACGGCGGCCACCACGACGGGCATCACGGCGGCCACGATAGTCACGTGAGCCACGGCGGCCACGATACGCATATTGTGAAGGATCCTCACGATCCTCACACTACGCATATTCATCACGGCAACAAGCACGACAATCATGACAGTCACAAGATCGTGGTCGCCGATCCGATTACTCCAGCTCCTGTGCAGACTCATATTCACACTCATCACCACACGCATATCGAGCAGGGAAGGCCGGGCAAGTCGATTGATATCGCTCTACCGGCCGGAGCCGGCGCTCTGCCAATTTATCCTCCTACTTACACTCCTCTGGATGTCAACCGAGGTCCTCAGGCACCCGCTGGAGCCTTCAACACCCCCGGAGGCACCTTTGTGAACTCTAACTTGGGCAACACCGGCTTCAACAAGATCGCCAACACGCGCCCGACTCCCAATCTCGGCAACTCGGGACAGTTCGGACCTCGACCAGTGCCTCCGGCTCGTCAGTCCGTGAATGTGCCGGCTATCTCCAGCAACTTGGGTAGCCAGTTTTACAACGAGTACTGTGTCTGTGTGCCGCGCTATGCGTGCGACGCGCTGGACATCATCACAGCACGCGCCGGGAGGGGAACTGGGGATTTGTCGGCCATCACTCCTCGGAGAGCCAACAGCTCCATTGATGCCGGTTCGGCACGGGTTGCCAAGAGCCTTCAGCCGGAGGATATTCTGGACCAGGTGAGGGACGGAGCAGAACGACGGAGGTGGGCGGGGAGGAAGGGGAGGGGAAGGGGGTTGAGACCGGGTTTTGAACGATCATAGGTAAATAAGATTTAATAGTTGAATACTTGATGTTCATGTAAACCTAGCCGTAAGGTAAAGATCGCAGAAGCGAGAACGTCTGTTAATGTCTTTGAGCAGTGGAGTGACGCATGCATTGGTTAGCAGCGGTGATTGTTTTACCAAACGTCAAACAAAACGTTGCTGGGAGAAAGTGGAGGACCAAGGTCAAACCTTCGCGTAAGCCAGTCTCAACTCATTATCATAGTTAGCATTTCTCGTCCTTACCGTCCTCTTCTGACCTCTCAGGCCTCTATTTTGACCTTTGACCCTACTCTGACCTCTCCCATGTCGCTTCAGGTCAAGGAGGTCATCTCTGAGGAGCGTCAATCCTCCGCTGCTGCTGACAAGTCCGCAGCTCGCCGGCGGCGGGCAGCTCTGCCCCAGTCCAAGGAGGAGAAGCCCGAGGCGCAGGCTCGTCAGCTGAAGGACCCCCTGACAGGAGAGGTGCCGGAGGGAAGGCAGCTCGTCACCGACGCTCAGGGCGTGAGTAAAACGAATAACGGCGTAATATTAGCACGGCATTTACTTAGGGAGGTAGAAATTTCGGTTTTTTGAGTCTGTCAACTTAGCAAAGAATGTTTAGTTATCGGGGCTTTCGGGACTGCCAAGCCATTTTGCTCCCTTATTTTATGATCACTTTATGATCACTCTCACCTACTATGCCCATGTTTGAGCCTGTTTTGTGTGCTTGTGTGCGTGTGCCCAGTAATCACATGCCTAGTCAGGCCCGGCCGGCCCTCTGTTGTCCAGCGCGTATCAGTTCACCCTGTCCCCGTTCAGCGAGGTCGCGTTTTGCAACCGGCGTCGCGCCGCCTCCCCAATAAGGCGCGGTGAGATTTCGAGACACGGACTCGCGAAGAGAGAGGGGGAGGGGGAGAGAGAGAGAGGGGCGGAGGCGTCATGAACAGGTTCCCGTCTCAGCGATGGATTTCTCCCCGCCCCCTCGACATGGGCTCGGCGAGTGACGTAGACGGAGGGATCCATCACTCTCACTGATTCGGTCAACGCCCGAGATTCACAGAAACTGAGCTTCCCTCGTTCTAGGCGTGAATTATTGCTGCGTAAGTCAATCCTTTGACTCAGCAGAAAGTTTCATCACATAGACGGTGCTGTTTTCACAAACCTTGACCTGTTAATACTCATATGCAGATTGCAGATAGACAATACTCACAATCGGAAAACTACATTCACCTTCCTCACCAAATCAATAGGATACGTCCTTTGAAAGCCACCAGTGTTACACCATGCCCACCTCCGTGCTCAGGAGCCGTCTACGCCCGCACTATTGCTAAATACGCACCGAATCTCGCCGGAAACCCGTGGTTCACAAATCGATAGTCGCGGTTCGGTTAGTCTTTGTTGCACCATAAGGAAGGCTGTCATTCTTCGAGTGCAAAATCGATTAGACACCACGCCTCTTTTTGTAACGTAGGAAATCGCGTCGTTGAAAATACTCCGAATTGTCGAAGGAATACACGACATCAGCCAAAGCGAATCGAAGTATCTGACAGAAACTAGAAAGTAGAAATGCGTGTTGTTCCTTCCCATTCCGTGAAAACGGTGTGACGTTAAATGGCATGACATAAGTGCTAACTCTTGGCCAAGCGATGAGTGTCCCCCAGTACAGTGAAAGTTATCAACGCGCCTGCTTCTTGGCAGCAGTATGTAGCTTCCTGCTGAGGCAGATCAATCTAGGTCAGGCGGGGACGGGACGTAAACTCCCTGACGACACTGCAATAGGGAATTAAACATCCTATGTTCACGTCCACCCTTGCTGTAGGTGTCCAATGTAAACGGTTCTTGTCAAAAGTCAGCATAATGCAGTTTGTGATAGGTCAATTTTCGGCGTAACAATTGGCATTTAAGTGGAATTATAGCACGTGATATATCTGCCTAAGCTTAACAAAGTACGCTTGCAAGCGGCATACGTTTTTGTAGAGTGCGATACACACTTGTAAGCATGTTTAACGCCTTGATGGGCGACACAAATCTATTTTCACCCGGATAACAGGAACCCTGTAATCCCTTTCATTCTTCCTAATCCCCTTTCTTCATGTACCGTCTGCAGCAGCGCCAACAGCCCACTTCCTGCACCACATTCGCCGCTTTTCCGCGCCACGATCGCCGCCGTCACGGTCGTGCGCGCCGGGAGTGTCGCGGCGCGTCCGCCCGCGCCGGGGCTGTCGCAACTGCGCCGGTAAAAAGTCCATACCCCGCACAGCGTGGCTGAGCCTTTGTCCGCGTTCCCTGTCCGATGGGTTGCCTAATCAATGACCTCGGCACATCTGGGTAATCGGGCCCTCAGACTCCCGTCCCTTACTATTCATTGCCCCTTTATCGGCCCCTGCCGAGGGGGAGTGGAGCTTGGAAGTGGGTCACGAAAGGGTATTACACTCACGAAAAGGAGATGCACATCGCCGGTAGAGCCGTGCTGATAAAAAAGATTGCGTGACTTTCAGTTGAACGACTATGGCGCCTGAAGACGATTAAGATTAATTACCACGATATTCACAATTAACGCAATATAATTAGCTAACCGCAGATAAATGTTAAATCTTGCAAAAGTACTTAAATCCGTCACCCGCACGTCACGCAACCCGACCTACCATAGGATACCCTCTCCTCGACGGATCGCCCTAAAATCCTAAAATCCCGGCTGCCGTGCCGACTAAACCCCATCTGTCCCCGTATGGCACTCGAGTTGTGTCAGACAGGGGGTCGGCCCCGTAACCCAGCCATGAGCCACTCGGCACGAAACGGAACCGCAACGGTTACCCGGCGGTTCCATTTGTGGTGGCTGAGGCTCTCGATCGCTTACACAACGTTATGTGCGGTTACCACGGGCCGGATATTCTGTAACGGAGAGTGTAAGTCACGTAAAGAGCGCATTAAAAAAAACTGCTTCAATTTCTTACCAGAATTAAGTACCTTGGACCTCTTTTCATCAAATCTGACCATCACAAAACCTTATCAACTTCTCGCAAACCACCTCCCAAAAGACACCCAACTCTTGTCTCTTTTGACATGCTTTTAATTTCAGCTCACCCTTTGACCAGTTCCATAGGCCATTGAGCTCTCCATACCCCCCTCTGACGTCATTTGTGTCCATTTGGCAGCGCCAGCTGGTCTACCAACCATCCCTGTGACGTCATTTGTGTCCATTTGGCAGCGCCAGCTGGGCTACCAACCATCCCTCTGACGTCATTTGTGTCCATTTGGCAGCGCCAGCTGGGCTACCAGCCCAACTTCCGCGGCTGCGCGCACACGGACGTCTGCTGCCGAAACCCGATCCCGGTTGGTCCGACGAACCGCCAGCAGCCCGGGCAGTGTGGGGTGGGACGGACAGACGCCGTCAACGGACGCATCAAGAACTATGACGTCAGGGAGGGCGAGACCGTGTTCGGTGAGTATGGATGTGAGGTGTGATGTCATTGGCGATGTCATGCCATACATAGCATCGGGTGTTGGGCTCGGAGCAGCCTATGTTAGGAATTCACAAGTTAACATTTGTTTATAGTTAGTGTTCATCTGATAGCTACATTAGTTTTTGGCTATACGATAATACGGCAATACGAGGTTTTATTCTTGGACAGCTACTCAGTGATTGTGCTTCTTTTGTTTTTAGCTCACATCCTATCATTACCCAACGCATTTACATCGACTTTCTCATATTTAGCCTCCCCGACTCTCAAGTCTCAATTGACCTCGGTGATTCCTTCATGTCATCAGGCGAATTCCCCTGGCATACGGCCATTCTGAAGAAGGAGGGAGCTGACAACGTGTATGTCTGCGCTGGATCTCTGATTGGAAACGAGTACATTCTCACTGCGGCTCACTGCGTCAAGAGGTGAGTGAAGGGAGAGGGGAGAGGAGAGGGAGAGAGGAGAGAGGGGCTCAAGAGGGTCTGGTATGACGTGTAGATATTGTACTGAGTACCACCACAAAACTTTCCCATGTGAACGTAACAATCGTTCTTTGACAATACACCAACATTTTACAAAACACATTTTCGAATCGCATCCTGACCACAAACACGCAATAAAGACAATGCAACGGCACACCAAATACCGTTAACACCCACCCTAAGCTCTCTGTAAACCACCACTGCACATCAGTTGACAACCTGAAGCCTTAGGTAGCGTCCTGACGATTTCACCAGCCCCGCTAACCCAGCCAACTCCCAATGGTGATGAAAGCGGCCGGTGAGCGCTGCGCTATGATCTTATCACACAGAGTAGGGCCCGATTTGGAAGCGGGAGACAATGTGGGGGCGGTCGGCAGGCGGGCTCGTCTGAAACTGACAAACGCCGTGTTGTAAGAATGTGTGCAATCGATCGGTAAACTGACAAATAGTTTTGGTGCGGTTGGTAATCTTACAAGCCATGTCAACATAATCTGGATTCAACACAATATCCACGGTACAATATCATGAGTGGTCCATTGCTAGGATCAATGTCTGTTTACCAATGATGGCTATCGTTATAAATACGAATTCATAAAACCTTGATGTAATACCGCCCAGTGTAGTACTCAAAAGTCCCACTCCTCTCCATCTATCTCTCCACTCGAATCGCTCAAAACTTCCCACTCACGCCCTTCTAACTCCCCACTCGAATCGTTCTAACTCCCCACTCCGTCATCCGTCCACAGCTACGAGCCGTACGCGCTCCGGGTTCGTCTTGGCGAGTGGGACGTCAATCACGAGACCGAGTTTTACCCGCACGTCGAGAAGGACGTCTCAGGAATCTACATCCATCCCGAGTTCTACGGAGGCAACCTCTACAACGACATCGCACTGCTGAAGCTGGCCAGCCCCGTGAACGTGCAGTACAAGTAAGTGAAGCGGTTTGGGGTCGGAGGAGAATGGGAGGGGGTCGTAAGAAACTATCCGAGTGATGATTTTGAGGAAGAAATGCTGGCAGCTTGGGGGAATATTTTATCATCGTAATGCTGATAATGCTCGTATACACCAATAAATGCAAACTGAGTTTTCGATTAGCAAACAGTCGGTCAACAACTTCTTCCGGTCTAACTTCTTCCTTCGGCAAGCTTCTCCATCAAAAGGACAACCATCAAACAATATGTAACCACCGTCACTGAGCTCTAACCTTATTCCCGCCCCACCGTTTCAGCCTGCACATCGGTCCGGTATGCATCCCGCCCCAGTACGCCGACTTCACCAATCAGAGGTGCTGGGTCTCCGGCTGGGGGAAGGACGCCTTCGGGCAGCACGGAAACTTCCAGAACGTCCTCAAAAAGGTCAGTGAACGCTCGAGTCCGGTTGACAGTATAGAAGCATATGGGCTGAGGTTTGAGAAGTGATGTAGAGAAGATAAATGGTCCGCATCGTCTGGCAATGAAACGATGTTAAGAACATGAAGGTCTTCTCATCAAGGTTACGTTCAAATTTAGAAGAAGGAAAATGTCAAACCATGCGTCTTTCATTTGCATTTAGGAACTTCTTTTTACAAATTGAATAGAAACGTATTGAGGATAAAAACTTGTCAATGACATTGATTACAACGTTATGCCCCCGATGCCATCATAACGTGACTATTTTTGGGAGCGACACCCTGACAGTTTCCAATTCTCCCAACCAGGTGGCAGTGCCTGTGATTGGTAACTACGAGTGCGAGCAGCGTCTGAAGCGCACCAAGTTGGGCTACGACTTCAAACTGCACGGTGGCTTCCTCTGCGCCGGAGGAGAGGAGGGAAAGGACGCCTGCAAGGTACGTAACAGTGGAAGGAGGATAGGGGTTCCGAGTTACATATTGGGCCTTGAAGAAACGACTTGAGTTGCACATAGGTTTATAAACTCATGTCCAAAGATGCGAAACATTCAGACAAATTGACTGTAAGTAATCAATATTTGAGCCAAGCTTGGTAATGAAATATGCCAAATCATCCGTGAAAGGTTCAAAAGCTTGATAATCATATGACACAATTTGAAATTTCACTCGAGAAGAATGACAAGTGAAGAAGTCCCCTTGACATGAGTGATGGCCTAAAAATCACACCACATCTCCACAACGTCGTACCTTAACAGCACGCCCCTCAGCCCTTGCGCACCCATATCCCCGCATACCCCAGCACTTCTCTGACCCCCCCCCCCCCTTCCCCACAGGGTGACGGCGGCGGTCCGCTGGTGTGTGAGCAGGCCGGCTCGTTCTACCTGGCCGGTATCGTCTCGTGGGGTGTCGGCTGCGGCCAGAGGGACGTGCCCGGCGTCTATGTCAAGGTACGTACCGCGCCGGTGCTGTCAGAGACCGTGCTGATGGTGAACGTGGTATGGTGTGATTTATAGGGAGCTTCTTGCTTGCCTCGAAATGTCAAGCAATTGTCCTATTACCGTTATAAATGAACCGATGTTTATTATCCAAGCTAATAAGTCCTGAGAAATATGTTTGAAAATATTTATAAGGGAACGATTATAATATCTACATAGATCTTCCTGTGGAACAGAAAAGCTTAGGTGCCCAATTAGATCAGCTTGATTTGTAGCCTGTTCGATCACACGTCTAACCAGTACCGTTCCTTGCAGACGACCGAGTATCTGCCCTGGATCCAGTCCATCACTACGTACCGGCCCTTCACGGGCGTCCAGTCGCGTGCCAGGAAACCCGCCGAGGGAATCGAGGCCGAAGACTACATAGAGGTGGTCAAACAGTAGGGCATACGAGTACACTCGCCTCGTACACTCGCCAGTGAACACTAGAGTGGTGGACGTTTTGCCAGAAACTGTGTTTTGCGGACGAAGTGTCAGTGTGGACGGGAAAAGTCTTAAAACGTTGTCGCAGACGGAGAAGCCAGGGTTAAGATGAAGCTGGACGGGTGATGAGTGTGCTAACATTGTTGTGACATAATATTCGAACAGGGACCAGCGATTGGGAATCATACGCTTTCATGTTTAGCGCGTGAAAGTTTCATCCATCGAGGAAGTTGAGTGATGATCATGTTATTCAGCCAAACTCCACCCCCAGGCGCCGTCTCCCAAGCGACCCCATTGTTGTTCGCTTCGAAAGGAGCCAGGACTGTAGTGCACATTGTAACAATATTTATTGTATGTATACGCCCTTGCGTTCCGTGTGTGTTTGCTCATGTAATAAACATGTCTCGAAAATGAGTTGGTTTTAGCTCAACAATCCACATTTGCACTATAGTACAGCATCAGCTGCTGTGAGCGACTGACTTCTTCGCACTCCGAGAAAATATTACAAGGTTCTCAAACTGAGCGGAAATTGGGCTTGTCATTCCTTACATTCCTCAACGCCTATGAACACAATATCGAGCAAGTAAGGTGACTGACTGGCCTACGCTGGCTGGAGACCCACGACTGACTCAACACGTCAAAAAATCTACAGATGTTCAAAAATTCATGGCACGTCGCGACTAACAGTCGGCCTTCGTTCAACCATACGCAACGGAGCATGCCAGGAATCGAATAGGGAATTGAAAAGTAATTCGGGATTTTGTTCCCGGAACCTTTATTGGGTGGCAATGCCATTGAAGGAAATTGATATAATTTGTCAATAACATTTACCGTTCACTGAAGCACCTCGTTTCAAAGAGACTGCATATTGGGATCGCAGCAAATAAAACGGCTCCAGAAATATGAAAAGTAAGTAAGTAATTGGGACTCATATGCTGAAGACACTGCGATGTTGCAGCTGATAGCATTAATTACAGTAGAATAGAAGCGTGGCGAAATAACTTAAGATGGACTAGACTCATTTATGTACAAAGATCCCTAAAAACATGGATTTTGGCCAGGCCAGAGCGAAGGAAGTGGCAGGGTATCAACGGGTAACGTTAGACCCAGTGAGTGCCCGCCAGTGACCAGTCCTATTCCAAGGCCACACATTTCCCTATCCCCTCTCAAAGCTCCAACCAATAACAAACTCACAAACAAGACGCGTTCCCAAGCTCACCGCTCACAGAATCACATGATATAAACAGACCAACCACACGAGTTACGATCACCGACAGCCATTCTTTCGACCGGCAAGAACAGCCGGGCTTGCCTGAAATTGGCTCCTTGAATCCTTCCTCTTCTCCGCTGTTCAACTCGCTGTTGCTTCCTGCTGTTGCTGCTGATGCTGTCGCCTGCTATTGCTGTTCACCCCGCGTGTTTATGTTTAACGTTGTGCGCGGTCGCTGACGAACAGAGGTGAGCGACCAGCATGCCGGCGGCGACGCGTGCCTCTGTGTCCAGACTGTCCACGTCATGGGCCCACTCTACGCGGCCCCAGACGTCAGCCTGGTGGGGAGAGGGGAGGGGAGGCGTAAGACGGGCGAAAAGGGGCGTGTTAGGGGTGGGAGGGGGTGATAGTGGCGTATTATGAACAGGATGGGCGGGCGGACGGTGCTAGAGATGCGTTGAAGATTTTTCTTCAATTTTTAATGTTGACTTGAGCAGAATAGAGAAAGATGGAGCACGATATATTGTTTTGTTTGTTTGTTTTGTTGGGTTAGGCCCTTTCGGTCCAATGGGACCATTTCAGAGCCGGGAGGATGATAGGATATAGGGGGAGACATTGGTCTGGGCAGGCACCCTAGTGAGTCACCGGGGCTGAGCCCGTCCGGAGGACAGGCCACCCAGCCCCAAGGTACTCACTGCACCCGGCTACGGGGTGCGCTCCCTCGGGAGCAGCGGTGCCGCTCCAAGGGAGCAGCCCGCATGAGATAAAGTTGCCTGTCCAGCCCGGAGGGGGGTTGCGGCGTGGAGGAGAAGGATTTCAGTATCCTGAGGATAGAAGCACGGAACGGTGAGTGAGCACGATATATAGAGATAAACCGAGGCCATGCTGACTGAACTCCAACTAGTTAGGACGCACGTTCTCTTATTCTCTACTCTATTTATCTGTCTTATTGCTTGTTTCCCTCCACTCACACCATCTATCTCCCCTCCTCTCAGTACATCTCGCTCTATCTCCCCATATCTTTCCCGTTCTCTCCCTAATCTCACCTGATATTCTGCCTCCAGTCGCGATAACCGGGCCACCTCCCTCGGCACCAGTTTCCGCTCCAAAGCCGCCAGAGGCAGCACCGTCGACCGAACCGACTCGACGGCGAACAACAGACCCGTCAGAGTCCATGTGTTGTGCGTTAGGAGGTATTCCTGTGCAGAAGAGAGACGGAAAGGTGGTTAATTTAGTGTTGTACTAAGAGCGATCCGCTAATAGCTGTTGTTAGATTGAGCTTCAGTTGAGGTTTCATGGTAAACAAGATAGAAGGTTATGAGTTTTTTTGGCATCATATACCACGTCGAATTTGGCGAGAACGACAATGTCAGCTGAACTTCTTCAGCTCCACATTTAGATCGCAAATATTCAACGCATGCTTCGAGAAAACCGACGCAAAACCATTACCAATCACACCTAGAAGAGAAATATCGCAGACATTTCTATTTTCTCCAACCGTTTCTCCGATCCAACTACAAACATTCACCAAAATCAATGATTATCTCCACCGATCGTGGAGATAGATAATCACCTGCCGATTACATGATACACGTACCCCCTCACCTATAGCAGGTCCACCCTCACCTGTAGCACGTCCAGCGTCTGCTGCGGCACGCTGCAGACCAGCGACCCCGACTCGGCCGGCTGCAGGTCCACGCCGAAGCGGTGTCGGACCCACTCGAGCACGGCTCCCCACTCGCGCCGCTGGGCCTCAGCCAGCTCCGTGGGGTGCTGACGAGAGGGGGAGGGGCAGTGAGTTTAGAGTTACACAACTCGACCGTCTTGGGCGGGGGGGGGGGGAGAATACGATCGCCGATTGGAAGGGATATCGATCGTCGATAGAGGAATTCGATCACCAATGGGGAGAAGATTTGATGACCGTGAGACTGCTTACGATGGCAAGAAAACGGTTCATTTGACAGTTCAGGAGATAAGCTCTTGATAGGATCAACAACTTCTGAATTCTGATTGACAATAATTGTATGTGCTGACAATAAGTGGCAATAGTCACTCATGGTTCAGAGTAGATGAATTAAATGAGCAGAGTGGGTCTTTCTTACTATGTGCACACAATTTAAAAAGTGTATTCAACCCTTTCTGGCTTTCTGCTGCTTGCACTTATGCCAGAAACATCCTGAACTGGAGATATTACTTAGGGATAAACCAGAAAACACCATTTGCCAGTAGAGCTCCACAGTGACATTCCTAAAATATGACAAATGTCTCCCCTCCACCTTTCCACTTACCTCCACTGGGAAGAGCACAGTGTCAGTATCCAGGTATCCGGTGATTTTCTCTGCCAGGTCCTTGTCAGTCCTCTTGTGCGGGTTGTCCAGTACAGTGAAACATAGACCTGTCTGAGGATAATTACAAGTCAGGATAGAAGTTCAGGATATGGTTGCAACATCAACTGACCCTTCTATTACATTCACATTCTAACTGCTCTGTTTCCATGACATTTACACTAAAAAAATAACCTATGTGGTGAGCTGGAAAGGGCTAAAACCATGAGACTGTCTGATAGTTCAGCATTCCTCCAACCACTCAGATTACAGATAACAGTGTATTAAAATCAAAGCTGGAAAGAGATCATCTCTGCATTGATATAAATACCCTAACTCTATCTCCAAATGTCTTACCAGGTGCATCTGGCTGGTTTGGATATGCTCTGTAACAGAGTCCCACTCAAATGCCACTCCGAGGGCCAGCTCCTTGTTTGGCACCTGCAGCAGCCGACCACCTGGGGTCTTAAGCTTTCTGTGGTCCAAGTTGACCTCCCATTTGCCATCCGAGCCAGCAATACTGACAGATTTGTAGAACTTCCGTCGAGCTAGAGCTGAGGATAGCAGAGGTGGTACGTAGCTACATCAGTTTATAAAAAAAAATTGAGAACATAGATTTAAAAGATTAAAACCAATAACTCACAGATGAGGTCCCTGTAAGATAAAAAACCTCCCTAAAAAGCTGAACAATCTCATAAATTAGGGTTATGCAGTTTATTTCAACTTATTCACTATACTTTTGCAGTCAGTTACCGACTATATCAAATTCGATCTTAAGTTGAAGAAACAGAAAGTTTAAAAGGTTGCATTTCATTGTCTACAGATTTGACAAAAATAAACAAGCAAATGAACCATATATCATAACATACCTGACATCCATCTCTTTGAAACTGTGTGAGAAGAAGTGGGCAAAACTGGAGATATCCTGAGTGTCAGACCCAATGCCCTTCCTATAGATATCATATCGATGAAAATATGGGTGACAACAAGGTGGCAAAGCTTCAACAGCCTTAATAAAGCACCAACAACCTGAAATTCAGACACCAAACGCATATAAATATTCGCAAACAGCACACGTTCGCGGCGAAAAGAGAGCAATACGGCTTTTCGGTCATGTTCAAAATTTTTATTAAAAGTACCGTTTATGCGAAATACTGAATTTCCATTGGCCGTTTCGACCCTACAAACCCCGCTAAAGGACGTGAGTGGCTTAAAACTGCTAGCGCAGTCATTACTGAACATTATATCTGCGTCGTTACTTGACTCTAGGCTGCCATATTTGACCATGCAAATTGATAAGAACGTGTAAGCAAATTATTGCTAGTGCTGAAAAAGGGAGAAGCCAAAAGGTTCCAGCATTTATGATCCTGATGCGGACTGTCACTTGCTACTATTTTTGTAATAAAGACACTCATTTTCCGCAGTATGAGCCCCTCAATGTAAATTGTACCCTCACACCGAGATTATCAAAGGTTTGAGCTTTTATGAAACACTCCGACCTCCGTGTCAAGCATCATGCAGCGAAAAAAGCGGCGAGTGTATGCAAAGTTTCAAGTTCGTTCCAAGTTCCAACAAGTAAAAGTCGATGAACTATAACCAACACATGTAGGTCCCCTCCGATTCCAAACCCATTTCTCAATCTTTTGTCAGGAAATAGAAATTGTATGTATGTATGTATGTATGTATGTATTGACACCAAAAGCCTTCCACATATGGCGTGGCGATTACGGCTTGGTGGTGGTACGTAGCTACATCAGTTTATAAAAAAAAATTGAGAACATAGATTTAAAAGATTAAAACCAATAACTCACAGATGAGGTCCCTGTAAGATAAAAAACCTCCCTAAAAAGCTGAACAATCTCATAAATTAGGGTTATGCAGTTTATTTGACAAACCTTTGTAGCGTGCGTGCATCCATATATTTTCATGAATGTAGCGAAAATACCGCTTCTATGACAATTAACGACCAGTGACCACGGGTACACTCCATATACGCTTCTATTAGGTTTCACAACAGCACCTCGGAGGCAAGTAGCAAAAAGAGCCACTTGCTGTTCACGGCTTTAGGCGAAAGTTGCGTCTCTCTTAAGTTGCGTCAACTCTAGCCGATTATCGATCATCCACATTACACAGTACGAAAGCTCATCCGTAATTTCTAGTAAATGGGGCAATGCTAAACATCTTCGTACGAATCGAATTGTAGTTGGTAGTTTTTACCTGCTACAATCGTTAGAGCAGCGTCGAGGTTCGGAAACTGATCGCATGTCGCAACAATCGAAAATCGCCCGGGTTTCGTCGAGCTAATCGCCATTCGGTACCACATCGACATCTAACTCGCCGCCTGCAAAGCAGGGGATAGCTTGGCTTCCAGGGAGGTTCCATAAGATTTTGATCGCCTTGTCATCGCACATTATATGAAAGATAAACACTTGGCCAAAACAAGCGGGTAAGCAATCTTTATCAGCTTTATATCGATGGTTACAACGCACTCATTTACAGAAGCATACAACTGCTTTCGTAATAATTCATCGCAACTAAACCAACTAAACTAAGTCGGGCGCATATGGTCAGGATTATCGCATGAAACTCGTTTGGTTAACCAATCCAAAACACAACTAGGAGCACAACACGGATATTGAACAGTTATAGGAGACATTTGATACGTAGATGCCCGCTTAACATTGTCTAAGGCGCTGACTTGAAATTAACCAGAAGTAGGCCGTACGCATGCTTTTCTACCATCAATGGTTTTAGAAAAGACTGCCAGCAAGCAGTCCACAATACGGAATTCAGGGGTACCTATATATCGCGCGGTAACGTGCTAGACACCAAGACGTGCAAATACAACCAACACATCCATAGTCCAGCCGTTCATGGGAATAACGAAAAGCAGTAACGTTTTCCATAAACACAAATTTCGAAATCCTATAACATACTGGTATTCCACCTCCCCAGACTATTCGCCAGGACTAGTAACGGCACTCAACTGATAAGTGACGCTTTAGATGAGGTGCACGTGTGTACGATAGCGACTTCTGACTGCACATACTGACATATATAAACACACAGCCTCGCACTTTTTACCACACCGGCTCACATCTCAACTTTCACAGCATGTACAGTGTGAAACGCACAAATCATCACACCGATACACGACTTTTACACACACAAGCACACAAGCAATCATCATTCAAGTTCGTTTATATACCCTGGCTTAAATATACCACTCATATACTCCAAAATATATATCGCACGTCGTGTGAAAATAAATATGTTATATCTATTAAGATATTTGGCCATTTGAGGACCTACGCTCGTCTGTCGCTCTCGTAGCGAGAACCTCTGTTGTCGGGCGCAGACAAGCTTGTCAAAATACTATTTTCGATACTCTGCTACGCAGCTGTTTCGACAGTACTGTCGCTATATGCGTACAAATTCACAAATATCTCCACTGTGACTTGCCAATCCCATCCCGCGTCGCATATCGGATCAGCTTCTTATCACTCTATTATGCTCGTTTTCTATCACTGACTTGATTCGCTTCTGCCACCAGCACTGGCGTATATTTTGAGATAGCTTGGCAATACCAAGATCCAGCAAGTTTCTTATCATTCACTCATGCGCTATTCAATTCTTACCGTGCACTGCACTTGCACATGTCATTACTAATCGTCGAGCTCAGCTTGTGAAGTGCCCTGAATCGTCTTTATTTTGTATCTCACTACCCGAACTTCCAGCACATTCAACTTGTTTCTGCTATCTGTCCCGCTTTACACCATTCTCCTCTTACTCTCCTCCGCTCTACCTCACCGTCCATCACTCCCCCTGCACTCTTTCCTATAATTCCTCCCTCTTCTTTTTTCTCACCGCTAACGTCCTGCTCCTCTCTCCGGTAGATTTGGAGCACTTCTGCTCCCACCCTCTCTCGACAGGCTCCTCCCGGCTCTCGGCGCTCTCTCTCCCTTCTCATCTCCCTCTGTCTTCCCCGTTCCTCCTTCCGCCGCTGGTGTGGGTAGATGACGACAGTCGGAGAACAAATCTCCACTCATCGACGATGTTAATTTCGCCGAGAATGATGTCTCTGTCTCCTCGACGACCCCCGATTCTGAGGGCGACGTTACTGCTGCTGCCGCAGTGGTAGATGAGGAGGAAGCTGAGGTAGTGGTAGCTCCTGTTGCCACAGGAGACGCCACAGCTGTTGGTAGAGCCACAGCCGCCTCCACTGCCGTCTCAGGCGTCACAGGCCTACGCCAGGACGGAGCTGGGATGGTTTTAGCGATACTCTCCAGAGCTATCTCATCCCCTCCCGCCGCCGCGCCTGCCGCCGCTGGCGAGCCTTCTCTGCGCGGCCTGCCGCTGTGAGCGGATAGAAGCGGTCGGAACGCCGGCGCCGCCCCTCCCGGCCGACTGCTGACTCGTCTGGTCTGCTCTGGTCTGAGTCGACCCACTGATGGGGGCGACGGGCAGGGGTGGAGGTGTCCCGGGAGCTCGAGAAGCCTACCTATGGCGTACATCTTCCTCTGACGTGCCTTCTGTCTGCCTCGTACCAACTTCTGCTTCGCCGCCATGCATCGGATGTGATCGTCAAACACAAACTTGGCGCTGAGCAGGGGAGGCGCCGCCGCCGCGCCGGCTGCGGGGCCATGCACCGTCACATGCAGCACACGAGAATCTTCCTTATCTCCGGTCACTTCCACATCTTGTAGAGCACCGGCGAACTTCGCCAGCCCCCAGCCGAGCCGACGGGGGTCCGGATCGACCAACAGCAACTGCAGAACATCGATCACCAAGAACCGTCTCTTCCTTCCGCCGTCTCGACCAGTCACCGTACAGGCTATCAGGTCGCTGTTGTTGAGGTCGAGAGTCTCGTCAACTCCGACGTATTGGTCGGGTCGCTGGAGGGGTAGCTGCGTGTCAGGCTCGTTACGCAGTGTGAGGCTGGTGTCTCGCAGCAGGAGAAACACGCGGATCGCGCAGCGGGCACGCTCCACCTGGAAACGAAACAAATTGGAATTAATTAATCGACGTTACGAATCAGTAAATAACTTATAACAGTAATAGTCATTAAACAGTACGTAAATGCTACCGCCATACTCAGTACGTAAATAAATGGAAGGATGGATGAATGAATGAATGAATGAATGAATGAATGAATGAATGAATGAATGAATGAATGAATGAATGAATGAATGAATGAATGGAGGGATGAATGAATGAACAAATGAATGACATGCGAATGCACGAACAGTCAGTCATGCTACGTCAATTTCAACATTACTCACCCCCAATTCCTAGCCTCCAATAGCCCCTAAGCCCCACACCCAGCCCTCGCGGTTTACCCCGAGACGCCATGCTCTCTTCAATACTCCATTGGTCGCTAGGCTCTCCAGCCCTGTAAATCCCCCCCCCCCCTAACCCAATCAACCCCCTGACGAACCTCTCCGCAGGGCAGTCGTCGACTGAACTCGACCCCCGACATTGGTGTTCCGGCCGGCGGCAGCAGCAGTCGGTCGTCCATCATCAGGTACTCGACATTGATGGGACGCTTCTTCATCTCACGGTACTCGTCCTCGAAAATGTCCAGGAATATCTCCTCACTCTGTCGGGGAGAGGAAGGGGAGAGAGAAGAGGAGTTAGTTCAATCTAATGTCGAAGCGAATATCATAATAGCACGATAGGACATGCAAAAATCGGTCAGGACCGATTCTAAAAAAAGCAGCAAGAAAAATTGACGCCGTCAAAAAAAAAAATATCAAAAGACTGATTCAAGGTGGAATGATATACAGAGATTGCCGTAAGTCTCCATAAAAGTGAACAGAAACTCCCTGACCGTTTCTAGTGTCGAAATTCGCAAATTCAAGGACCCTACTACGAAATTATTTACAGCCTTGTTCCGGCAATTCATCTTCCGTCGTCCACCAGATATCGGTAACCCGTCCTCACCTTGTAGAAGTTCCTCAGTGTGAGAGTGGCCTGTTCCCGGGCCTCCTCGACCCTGGCCAGATCGGCGTCACTAAGTACACTGCCTCCAGAGGTCATCACGAGCTGCTGGAGCACCACCAGGGACAGCTCCAGCGTCACCAGACGAACACAGGAATCTGAGGGAGACAGGGGGCACCAGAGGTCATCACTAGTTGCTGGAGCACCACCAGGGCCAGCTCCAGCGTCACCAGACGGACACAGGAATCTGAGGGCACCAAAGGTCACCATCAGCTTTCGTAGCACCACCAGAGCGAGGTAGAGAACCATTACAAAATTTGGCTATCGTACGAGGACTTAAGAATAAACACATCTAGCACACCCCTCCTCTGCACTCACTGGGCGCGGGCATCGAAGTCTGACGACTTCAATTCAAATAACTCGATCGGCAAATGAGGACTACCGCTCGCATAGCTGCCAGACGCGGTAACCAGCTGGCTAGACGACAAATCACCTAGAATACCACCCCACCCTAAAAAAACCTCGAATCCTGCCGTTCTATACCACTTACTGGGCAGACAGCTGGCGGCTATGATGCCAATGGTACTACCCCCTTACCCCTTCTTATCCCCCACCCACTCACAGGGCAAACAGCTGGCCTATGATGCCAATAGTTCTACCTCCCCTTTCTCCACTCACTGGGCAGACAGCTGGCGGCTATGATGCCGATGGTTCTACCTCCCCTTCTCTACTCACTGGGCAGACAGCTGGCGGCTATGATGCCGGTGGTTCTACCTCCCCTTCTCTACTCACTGGGCAGACAGCTGGCGGCTATGATGCCGGTGGTTCTACCTCCCCTTCTCTACTCACTGGGCAGACAGCTGGCGGCTATGATGCCGATAGTTCTACCTCCCCTTCTGTACTCACTGGGCAAACAGCTGGCGGCTATGATGCCGATAGAACCCCCCGTCCCAATCCCTCCCTTCCGCCACTCACTGGGCAGACAGCTGGCGGCTATGATGCCGATCACCCGTTCTGCCAGCTGACTGTTGTACCTCTGCCGGGCCTGTTCACCACACGGTAGTAGCACAGTGTCCAGTAGTTCACTGTTGATGCCTGAAAACGGGAGGGGGAAGAGAGCAGGGAATGTTAGAACGAGCGTTTTGTGGAATGGAGATGGGTGGTGGGCATTATTAGTTCGGTGGTGGTTTGCTGTTGATCGATAATGCAAGAATTTACTGGTCATGTGTAGGGAAAATATATGCAGATGGAGAATGTTAGGCGTGGTAAAATATGTACAATGGTGAATGGAACAACGCATGTGCAAATGTACATATTTCTGACCGAATCAGACGATTAATTACGCAAATTAAGGGCGTGATATCAAATCAGTTTATGCCTGGGGGCATCCATATTCTAGTAATTGGATAAATCTTAAATCTGAACGGTTATGTACAACTTTACAAAGTAAAAGATAAATAGGCGTTTAAGTAGTTACCAAGAGGAAGGTATAGAAATCATAAAACCACGCCGAAAAAGGTAAAGAATGGTACAAACAAACAGTTGCTACAGTGACAAGCTAAAGTGCACCAAGTCATAAAATATAGAAAAATCCACCAAATTATTGCCTGCAATGAGTGTCAGCAAACCACTTCAGAGGCAGGCTGAGACGATGTATAAGAAATAATAGAAGTTACAGGCGTGCAAGTGATGCTATGAATAAACAGCTAACGAAAGCGCGGATAAAAGAAAAGTACTATGAAGCTGAGTAACTCGTCAAATACCACAAGTAAATAAATTATCTCCACCCGTTACACAGTAATGCCAATCAGAAAACGTCCCAAAAGAGAATATAGAATCACCCGAGCCGTGCCAAGCATTTCAGAAGACAGAAACATGGCAAAAAGTCACAATGCATGCCAATGAATCATTACAACATAGGCAGCCATGGTAGATAAACCGAACAAGGACCAGCCCGTTTACCTTCCACTGGGTCACCGGTAAGCGGACGGTAAGTCAAAGGTTACAACACGCTGGGGAAAATACAGCATGGAATACTCAGGCTGGAGGACTTGTACTTGACATGAAAGTTTGAACCATGGACTGCAGCTACCGTCCCACTGAACCCGGTGCAAACAATAGCTGACGAAAAAAAATATCAATGACCCCAAACTTACTCAGGCAAATACAGCTTAGCTCTAGTTTAAAACCAAGCCTCGTGTACGAATGCAGGGTGTGACAATGCTGCATGACCTAGCATACAGGCCATTTGCCACATACCGCGGACCATAAGCCTCTTATATGCGTCTCTCCAAAATTGCAGTCTTCTTCAGACATGAAACTGGACTATGAATCCTCCAAAGCATGCCTGAGGTTCCCTTCTCACGCGTCATCCAGAACAGCAGACCCTTCAGCACCGGACAAAACCAATTAAAACTCCCGCATTCACCTACCTTATACTATTCAACCCCACGGGAGACCCCAAAACCCAGCTACCACCATCCCATCTCCACTGCCCATATCCCCTCTCATCTCACCTTTATTATGTCCAATAGCGTGCAGCAGACACAGCGCAAACAGGGCCGTGTAGTCATTCTCCGAGCAGTCCAACGCGTCCAGAATTGACGCCATGAATGGTTTCGGTGAGGAGGCAGCCGCTGCCGCTGACGGAGTGGATGCCTCGGTGGGCGGTCCGCCGGTAGTGGTGGTGGAGCCGCGACACAGCAGGCGCTTTTCCTCGTCTGTGTAGTTGCAGGAGTCGACCAGATCGGGCAGCCCGTACACGGCTGGGGGAGAGGCAGGGTTAGTGAGTGGGGTAAATATCAGGACTGACGAGGCTGGGGCAGGAACGGCGGCGTAAATCGGCGGTTGACGAGTAATAAAGCGGGCAACAGAAACAACGCTGACGTAAGTAACTGATAATGGGGGGACATACCAGTGAAAATAGTGAAAGGAAGAAACTTCGAGATCATAGGAGATGGTGTTTCGAAACCCTTGCTCAATTAGCACGCCCATGATTCTTTATTCTATCATTCATTTACTCATTCATTCATTCATTTTATCATTCATTCATTCATTCATTCATTCAACTTTCCACATTAATTTGACATCCTACCCTTTTATGCGACGTAGTCGATTGTGCTTGACGCACCAAAAAAGCTTCCTTCGAACATCCCAACGGCCCACACACCCTCCCCACTCCCTCACACCTTCCCTCCCTCCCATACCCCATCTCTCCCTCCCAAGCCCTAAGCCCCTTCCGTCACTCACCGGGCGGCCGAGTCAGGTTGGCCAGCGCGGCGGCCAGCGCGGCGGCCGTAGCCGGCGACGACTCCTGCTCACTATCCGACCCCGTGGCCGACTTTGGGGCCGTCTGTGGCTCCTCCAGGGACTGTTCAAGGCTCTGTACTGGCGCCACAAAACCCGGACAGAAGGCGCCCGTCTGAAGAGAGGGGGGGGGGGGGGGAATCGGTCGGTCGGAAATAGAATAGAGGCATAATTCAGAGATAATAGCAATCGGTGTTTTGTCATGTCCGTCGCAGCTGACGCGCTCTATTTGAATCCCAGTCGGTCAGAAATAGAATAAAGCCATAATTCAGAGATCATAGCAACCGACGTTTTGTCATGTCTGTCGCTGACGCGCTCCATTTGTATCCAATAAGCAAAACACATACCTACAAGGTAAATAAATTCACCGTAGCACTTTTCGAGAAGAAAATGAATGATGGCAAGGAAGCGATATTCTTATGCCAATTGGGGCTATTTAAGTTGACATGACCGTTTCCTAATGGCACGAGTTTTCGCTATTTTACATAAGTTGATCAACATTCACGAAACAAGCCTGGTACACAGGATATATCTATCTATATTATAAATCCTAAAAAGTCCGCCGCCGTCGGGGTTACTCCCAAAATGGCTTATTACGGCGCCGTCGATTGACGCAGGAGGGTGAAATTTTTGCCAATCGTGGGTCGCGTCATTCGGTAGGGTAGGGTCGGTAGGGTAGGGGTAGGGTTGAGTTCAAAAAGGGCCCAACATACAAAACACTTGAACACCCCGCAACTATCACCATCCCTTACAGTTTTAAAAACAGCTACCCAAATCTACCCAAACAATATATAGCTAAAAATACAAGTCAATCACCCAAAACTAATGCACCCGTAACATAACATAAATCAAAACATACAGTTATCGCGTAAACCTGTACCTCTAGTCTACTATTATAAATCTTAAAAAGTCCGCCGCCGCCGTCGGGGTTACGCAGTCGGCGTTACTCCCAAAAACGCCTATTGCAAAGCCGTCGATTGAACCACGAGGGTGAAATTTTCACGACTCGTGGGTCACGTCAATCAACAGATCGTATTAAATTTTGGGCACGATGCGGCCGGGGGTGCGCCCGTGGCGCGTGCTCATGTGCGGCATGGGGTTAGCATTAGAATCGCGACCGGCGCCGAGCAGAGGGCACGTGCTTTAGGCTCAGTTGTTCGCTTAAAAAACTGAGTGGAAATCATCAGAGCCGGCAGGTCATTGACCTTTGACAACGAAGGCCGACACAAGGCACCGCTCGCCAAGGGGATTCGCCAGTAAATACAGTTAATTTGTTTTTGAAATATTTCAGCCGTTTATGGGCCGATTTAGCTGAAACTTGGACTGTCGGTGGTAGTGTAGTGTAGTGTAGTGTAGGGTAGGGTAGGGTAGGGTAGGGTAGGGTAGGGTAGGGGTAGGGTAGGGTATGGTAGGTTAGGGTAGTGTAGGGTAGGGTAGGGTAAGGTAGGGTAGGGTAGGATAGGGTAGGATAGGGTAGGGTAGGGTAGGCTAGTAGGGTAGGGTAGGGTAGGGACTAGGGTAGGGTAGGGTAGGGTAGGGTAGGGTAGGGTAGGGTAAGGTAGGGTAGGGTAGGGTAGCGTAGGGTAGGGTAGAGTTAGGTAGGGTAGAATTAGGTAGGGTAGGGTATAGTAGGGTAGGTTAGGGTAGTAGGGTAGGGTATGGTAAGGTAGGGTATGGTAGGGTAGGGTAGGGCAGGGTAGGGTAGGGTAGGGTAGTGTAGGGGTAGGGTAGGGTAGGGTAGGGTAGGGTAGGGTAGGGTAGGGGTAGGGGTAGGGTAGGGTATGGTAGGTTAGGGTAGTGTAGGGTAGGGTAGGGTAGGGTAGGGTAAGGTAGGGTAGGGTAGTAGGGTAGGGTAGGGTAGGGACTAGGGTAGGGTAGGGTAGGGTAGGGTAGGGTAGGATAGGGTAGGGTAGGGGTAGCGTAGGGTAGGGTAGAGATATGTAGGGTAGAATTAGGTAGGGTAGGGTATAGTAGGGTAGGTTAGGGTAGTAGGGTAGGGTAGGGTAGGGTATGGTAGGGTAGGGTAGGGTAGAGTAGGGTAGGGTAGTAGGGTAGGGTAGGGTAGAGTAGGGTAGGGTAGGGTAGGGTAGTAAGGTAGGGTAGGGTAGGGTAAGGTAGTAAGGTAGGGTAGGGTAGTAGGGTAGGGTAGGGTAGGGTAGGGTAGGGTAGGGTAGGGTAGGGTAGGGGGTAGGGTAGGATAGGGTAGGGGTAGGGTAGGGGTAGGGTTGAGTTCAAAAAGGGCCCAACATACAAAACACTTGAACACCCCGCAACTATCACCATCCCTTACAGTTCAATTAAAAACAGCTACCCAAATCTACCCAAATAATACACCTAAAAATACAAGTCAATCACCCAAACTAATGCGCCCGTAACATAACATAAATCAAAACATACAGTTATCGCGTAAACTTGTACCTCTAGTCTATATTATAAATCCTAAAAAGTCCGCCGCCGTCGGGGTTACTCCCAAAATGGCTTATTACGGCGCCGTCGATTGACGCAGGAGGGTGAAATTTTTGCCAATCGTGGGTCGCGTCATTCAACAGGTCGTATTAAATTTTGGGCACGATGCGGCCGGGGGTGCGTCCGTGGCGCGTGCTGACGTGGTGTGCCATAGGGTTTACACTAGAATCGGCAACAGGCTATTGCTCGGGAACGGTAAGGGCTACGGGGGTGAAATTTTCACGCCAAGTCGGTCGCGTGCACTCATTTGTAGTATTAAATTTTCGAGGGTGTGGGTTCAGCGGTGTGCACGTGATGGGGCCGCGACCGGCGCCGAGCAGAAGGCACGTGCTTTAGGCTCAGTTGTTCGCTTGCAAAACTGAGTGAAGAGAGTCAGAGCCAGGAGGTCATTGACCTTTGACAACGAAGCCCGACACAAGGCACCGCTCGCCAAGGGGATTCGCCAGTAAATACTATCAATTTGTTTTTGCAATATCTCACCCGTTTCTGGGCCGATTTAGCTGAAACTTGGACTGTCGGTGGTAGTGTAGTGTAGGGTAGGGTAGGGTAGTGTAGGCCGTAGGGTAGGGGTAGGGGTAGGGTAGGGTAGGGTAGGTTAGGGTAGGGTAGGGGGTAGGATAGGGTAGGGTAGGGTAGGATAGGGTAGGGTAGGGTAGGGTAGTAGGGTAGGGTAGGGTAGGGTAGGGACTAGGGTACGGTATAGTATGGTAGGTTAGGGTAGTAGGGTAGGGTATGGTAGGGTAGGGTAGGGTAGGGTAGGGTAGTAGGGTAGGGTAGGGTAGGGTAGGGTAGGGTAGGGTAGGGTAGGGTAGGGTAGGGTAGGGTAGAGTAGGGTGGGTTAGTAGGTAGGGTAGGGTAGGGTAGGGTAGGGTAGGGTAGAGTAGGGTAGGGTAGTGTAAGGGTAGGGTAGGGTAGGGTAGGGTAGGGTAGGGGTAGGGTAGGGTAGGGTAGGGTAGTGTAGGGGTAGGGTAGGGTAGGGTAGGGTAGGGTAGGGTAGGGTAGGGTAGGGTAAGGAAGGGTAGTGTAAGGGTAGGGTAGGGTAGTGTAAGTATAGGGTAGGGTAGGGTATGGTAGGGTAAGGTAGGGTAGGGTAGGGTAGGGTAAGGAAGGGTAGTGTAGGGGTAGGGGTAGGGTAGGGTAGGGTAGGGTAGGGTAGGGTAGGGTAGGGTAGGGTAGGGTAGGGTAGGGTAGGGTAGGGTAGGGGATTGTAGGGTAGGGTAGGGTAGGGTAGGGGATTGTAGGGTAGGGTAGGGGATTGTAGGGTAGGGTAGGGTAGGGTAGGGTAGAGTAGGGTAGGGTATGGTAGGGGTAGGGTAGGGTAGGGTAGGGTAGGGTAGGGTAGGGTAGGGTAGTGTAGGGGTAGGGTAGGGTAGGGTAGGGTAGGGTAGGGTAGGGTAGGGTAGGGTAGGGTAGGGTAGGGTAGGGTAGGGTACGGTAGGGTTGAATTGAGTAACATCCTAACTTACAAAGGGCTCGAACGACTCGCATGCATTACCATCATACTTTACAGTTCAATTAAAAGCAGTTACCCAGTTATACACAAATAATACCAATAAAACGCAAGTTTCTACACCCAAAACTAATGCATCCGTCAATCATACATATCAAAACATACAGTTATCGCGTAAACCTGTACCTCTAGTACCAGTAAAACGCCTTTTGGGCGAAGAACGAGCGAGCGAGATAGTGAGCCCTGCACGTGCGGAAGGGCGAGAGGGTGCTTCCAACGGGCTTGTGCGAAGCACCCTTCTAACCGGTCGCTAGCGGTGTGCCAAATTTGAACGCAATCGGCCCAGCCGTTCCTGAGATCTGGAAGCGGCATTCTGCACGTGCGCACGTGCAAACGGGGTCCAAAATGACTTTTGCACGGCACCCTACTAACTGGTCCCCAACCGTGTACCAAATTTGAGCGCAATCGGCCCAGCCGTTCTCGAGATCTGGAAACGCCCCCTGCACGTGCGCACGTGCAGTAGCACCCTAACCGCAACACATTGGAATGCAATTCCTGGTGGGTGCCTACCTGTATGCCAAGTTTCAGCGAAATCGCCCCAGTAATTACCGAGTTACTGAAATGGGAACAAATTTGGCACCTCTTATTGTTGTATTTTGCACGTGCACTGGGGGTGACCCACATACATCGAGAGTATCCTATTTTGGGTAGAAGGGATGCTGCTACCCTACAAAAATTACCGCAAGTCAATCGCCCAAGCGGCTGCTGAGATATGTGCCTCTCAAAATCACTACTTTTGCAAAACAGCTTGAACACCCTGACTTTTCACGTGGCACGTGCCACGACGGTCACTGAGATGTATCAAAAGTAGTCAATTACGGGGTAGAAGGGATGGGGCCACCCAACAAAAAAGACCGCAGGCCAATCGGTCCAGCGGTTGCTGAGATATAAGCCTCTCAAAAGCGTTACAGGCCGGGCCGGGCCGGGCCGGGCCGCTCATACTGAGATTTTTTACGGAGCGAGCGAAGCGAGCGTAGTCTTTCCTTAGATTAACGGAAATTTCTGAGTATGAGCGGCCGGCCGGCCGTGCGGACGCTTTTGCGAGGCTTATATCTCAGCAACCACTTGACCGATTTACACGCGGTAATTTTTGTAGGGTAGCTTCATTCCTTCTACCAAGTATTGGACTATTCCCGATGCATATAGGTGACCCCTTATGCACGTGCCACGTGCAAAACGAAGAGGTGTCAGTTTTGTAATTGTTGCAATATCTCGGTAACTACTTGGCCGATTGCGCTGAAAGTTGGCATGTAGGTAGGCACCCACTAGGCACTGCATATCCATGTGCCAGAGTTGGGGTGCTGCTGCACGTGCGCACGTGCAGGGGTCGTTTCCAGATCTCGAGAACGGCTGGACCGGTGGCGCTCAAATTTGGTACACGGTTAGGGACCAGTTAGTAGGGTGCCGTGCACAAGTCAATTGGGACCCATTTTGCACGTGCGCACGTGCAGGGTGCCGCTCCCAGATCTCGAGAACGGCTGGGCCGATTGTGCTCAAATTTGGCACATCGCTAGAAACCGGTCAGTAGGGTGCCGTGCACAAGTCAGTTGGAGGTACCCCCTCGAAATTTCGCACGTGCAAGACTCACCCCCTCGCTCGCTCCGTTAGTCGCCCCAAAAGGCGCTATACTGGTCGTTATTACGGAGCGAGCGAAGCGAGCGTAGTCTTTCCTTAGATTAACGGAAATTTCTGAGTATGAGCGGCCGGCCGGCCGGCCGGCCGGCCGTGGTCACGCTTTTGCGAGGCTTATATCTCAGCAACCACTTGACCGATTTACACGCGGTAATTTTTGTAGGGTAGCTTCATTCCTTCTACCAAGTATTGGACTATTCCCGATGCATGTGGGTGACCCCTTATGCACGTGCCACGTGCAAAACGAAGAGGTGTCAGTTTTGTAATTGTTGCAATATCTCGGTAACCACTTGGCCGATTGCGCTGAAGGTTGGCATGTAGGTAGGCACCCACTAGGCACTGCATATACATGTGCCAGAGTTGGGGTGCTGCTGCACGTGCGCACGTGCAGGGGTCGTTTCCAGATCTCGGGAACGGCTGGACCGATTGCGCTCCAATTTGGTACACGGTTAGGGACCGGTTAGTAGGGTGCCGTGCACAAGTCAGTTGGGACCCATTTTGCACGTGCGCACGTGCAGGGTGCCGCTTCCAGATCTCGAGAACGGCTGGGCCGATTGTGCCCAAATTTGGCACATCGCTAGAGACCAGTTAGTAGGGTGCCGTGCACAAGTCAGTTGGAGGTACCCCCTCGCAATTTCGCACGTGCAAGGCCCACCCTCTCGCTCGCTCCGTTAGTCGCCCCAAAAGGCGTTATACTGGTATTGAAAAGACTCACTTCGCTCGCTGCGCTCGCTCGCTCGTAACAACATCCCATCAGCCGCGGTGTAATGTAGCACAAAGGCGCTCACGCCGTCGCTTACCGTTTGCGACTGCCAGAGAAGGTGCTGGTCGGCGGTGAGTATGATCCTGGCCAGTAGACGCACCAGAGGCTGGTGTGTAAAGATGAGGAACACTTGGGACAGAAGGAACAGCGATACCACCGTGCTGACGCGCGGCTGGGGACGGAAACGAAGAAAGGTCAGTGAGTGATGTCTGCAAACAAGGCACGAACACTGCTGTAGGTACCACAGCTGTCAGCGCATTGAGAATAGGGCACGGGTGGGCCGAGAGACAAAGCATTCAATTAAAGTATCACGTGCATTGAGATCTTGCCCGGGCATCGGCTGATATTTTTGTGGCAATCGTATATTTAAAAAAACTTCAAACTTATCAAGGTCAACTGAAAGGAGAACTAAACGCAGCGAGGAGTAACACACCAATCCTTTGACAAGTACGCCACTCATCCTACCACATCTTCAGTCCCTCCAAACAGCATACAGCAAAACACAAGACTAAACCACCGCCCCGTTCCGCCGTGCACATTCCCACCTGTTGTTCGGGTGTGGCGACTGGCGAGCCCTCCTCCGGGGCCAGCGGAAACACGTAGAGCGGCAGCAGCAGTCGGCTCAGCAGGTGCTCCGTCAGAACCTGAGGGAAGGCAGGAGGGGTCAGTCCGGTGCGGAGGTAGAGAACGAGCGATAAACGTTGGTAAAGGTAGCGGAGAAGTGAATTCACTCATATGCCTTTAAAAGGTGCGCCAGAGTCAACTTAATCTAACGATTAACTAATTAAAATGACAACTACGTAAAAATAAGTGGTCACTACGAAGAATGTTTAATTATCTCGGTTAAAAAGATTTCAACGAAATATGAAGTTCTGCTCCAGGCCATCCGACCTTTGTTCACGAACACACACACTGTCTGCCGCCCAGTACCTGGTTGAGCTCCTCGATGTTGAGACAGAGAATGTCGTTGAGGTAGTGGATGTGGTCCAGGTGTTCCGCCACCAGGTCCGCCAGCTTACCGCGACACTGGTGACTGCGGGGGGGGGGGGGAGGAAGTCAGATTAGCGGAGATCCAGGGGCCGTGTAGTTCACGTCGACTTCGTAAGTCGATCTTCTTTCTTGTATAGTAAGAGGTAGGTCGACATGCGAAAGAAAATTCTTACGAAAATGATCGACGTAAATTATACGGCCCCTGAGAGAGAGCGGAGATTACAAACTGAGACATGAGGCTAGCAATTCATCTCACTCACTTACTCACTCACTCTCCCTTCCTCCCTTCCTCACAGCCCTCTATCCTCTCCCTTCCTTACAGCCCTCTATCCTCTCCCTCCCTCTGTCGTTCCTCGGTGTCCGTTTTTCCTCACCTGGAGTCACTGCGCACACACCGGTCCAGCTCCAGTACGTGGTTACCGATAAACCAGACCAGATTGGAGAAATACGGCACGGCAGTCATGTCCCGGATAAACTGCAGCATCGACCTGCGGAGCGGAGATGTTAAACGTGACGAGGGGGAAGCAACTGAGAAATCAGGGACTTAGGATAGAGAATGAGAGGGAAAGGAAGAGAAAGAGAGGACAGGCAGCAACAGTTGGAGCAAATCACCAACTGCTGCAGAAGAGTCTTACTTCTCCACCCGATACACATGCTGAGTGTCAGAATCGTGTCTACCGCCGTTTAAGCGGTCCACCTTCTGCCTAAAAGAAGTCCAGCGCCAGTTTCCCCACTGCGGTAGAACTCACTTCTCCTCGACCCGGTAGACGTTCAGCGTCAGGGTCCGCACTGCGATCCGCACCATGGTCTCCGAGTGGTTGAAGAACTTGATGGCCTCCGTGTACAGGGGGAAGTCGTTGGTGTGCTGTCAAAACACGACGGAGAGACAGGTCGAGATGGTTACAAGCTGAGTATGGTAAGCATGTAAGTTCACAAATCCAACTGCAAATGTCCGTCTCATTCACTCACCCATTAATTTCAAACAGTCCCAACTAGCTAGCTTTGTGAATCTCTCACGTATTGAGCACCAGAGCGATCCAAACCGGGCCCCCACCCACTAGATTCTTATTGCCCACAAACTGAGTCATCTCAATTCAAGTGTCACAACTGACCAAGCTCCTTACCTCGTTGTAGAAGAAGTGCACGGTGTGGGTGTTGAGTTTCAGCGACAGCGTCTTCAGGAAGGAGATGTAGTAGGCCATCACCTCCTCGTCGGAGAAGTCGAACTTGTGCACGATGATCGAGTTCACATGGTTGTTGGACAGTAAGTAGTCTGTTGGAGAATGAATGGAGTGAATGGATGGCATGAATGAACTGAATGAATGAATGAATGAATGAATGAATGAATGAATGAATGAATGAATGAAACGAATGAATGTAGTGAATGAAGTCAACATATTCGTATAATTGGAAAACGATATAATTTAGCCGGAACCCTCAAATGTTTTTACGACTACATATTATCACGTAAAAGCCTCGTAATTATTTTTGAGAATCGAACTTAGATGGCTGATCCAAAGAAAAATCAACTTACACCTTTCCCTGTCCAAGTCATATTTTCCTCACGATAAAACTTACATATAGACGTTTCGTTGCGGATATTCTCGAAGAGAATATTCAGCGTCTGAAGCAGTTGTACGCAGACGTAACTGCCACATTTCTGCTTCATGATCTTGAGGAAGAATGATAGCATGTTCTTCTCCAAGAAAAAGCTGCGGTGGAACAAACGGTCAAATTGTTTTCTTGCGTTGTTTTTCGGTACCTAGAACCCTCGCAAATATCTATTGACAAAATAGAGAAAAAGGGGGTCGGCGAACTAGCAAGAATGAAGCGGGAGATCGAACCCACGATCGAACATTATTGGAGATCGAACCCACATACGACTTAGATAGTAGGCACCTACACTACATTTGCATTCGCGATATTTCATTATCAATCTCGACATTTCATTGAAAATCAATTCTCGACTACTGTAGAACATGACAGTACAGTCTCACCGCGACCCCTTTTATAACACCTCCACACAAAGTGAACTCACTCGAAGACTGTGCTGTCATTCTGGTCCCCCCAGATGAGGATTTCGGCGATGGAGCGCAGTGTCTCCACCAGGAGGCCGCGGTTCCCCTCGGACACGGTCTGGTTACGCTGCAGCACATTGTACAGGTGCCTGCAAAGTGCAAAAAAAAAATGGTACAATGGAAAAAGAACATCTTAAAAGATGCTTTGCACAGACTGTGCAGGTGACATGGTTGACTATATGGTTGTGTGCATTGATGTGTAATCAGTGCAAGAGAACAGACAGGATGCCTAGGGAGCCAGCCAGGGGACAATGGTGACGTGTCAAGTGTGGGGTACCTACAGACTGTGAGGGATATGGGTGGGTTACTATTGAGGGGTTTTGGACATGCAGGTAAGCAAATAATGTTTGGTGGAGGGCAAACAGTTAAGCTCAAGAATATAAGGAACACTCTGGAGTGGAACCAGCATGATTTTGATTGTTGAGCATAGCTGATTCATCCCATAAGAGTACAATCAAAGTAAAACCCTGGAGAAGAATGCAAGGAAACACACTATCTTTGTCTATCTAAGCTAGAGTCAACACATCATCAAGTCATGTCATACTCATATGTTCCATCATCCATTCATTGCGACTTATCATCAGTAAACACAGCAAACATGAAAATAGACACACAGTTATCAAAATCAGAAGCCAAAACAGTTATACCATCCAGCACCAAACTCACTTGAGATGTTCCAAGGAGTGAGGGTTCTTGGGTTTCCATACACCACCAAACAGGCGACCTTTGAACATGGTCTAGCACCAAAAACTGCCGTATTTTCAGAGCCCTCTATCAGCAGCTTGCACCTTGCAGATCAGCTTAAGCTTATTTACTCCAGTATCATGTCATCAGGCAAGGCTGTCGCTGAAACCAGGAACATTGGTGGTTAAACACTTGTTAATCAACAATCAACGATAAAGTATGCTTGACACTGAAGTCAAAGAAGATTGGCTAAACTATAATAAGATAGTCTAACAATTCTGAATAATTATAGCCTTTAGTTAGGAATAACTGTTAAAAAAACATGAGTAGGACGTTATACAGTCTTGAGTGATCAATAGGCAGAATAAAGTCATTCATTCTAGGTGCCTAATACCTAAAGCACAGCAAGAAGACATATCTTAATAGTGATTCAGCTTTAATGCTGATGAAGCAGTGCCTAATTAGTATTACATTACCAAGGATTTTTAGTGAAACCTTGAGAAATAAATAATAATGGCATGATATTAGACCTTTTTAGAACATCATTGGTATTGTTATCGCCATAAGATAAAGTCGGATCCATCATTTATTCAATCCTAGCACATTACCTACTTATATTTGCTTTTACAGTATTTTGAAGACTATCACAATTCATTAGAATTGGACCTGCATTTTCTACTAGGTCCTGCCGCATAGTTATGACCTAGCCAGTTGAAAGAAAATGGCAGATATTTATATTAATATGGTTTGATGAACACTACAGTGGTGGATACAGATCAGAAAAAGGTCTTAGACTCATACATTCTGACATATGTGCATTGACACATTTAACTGAAACTACTCAATGTTAAAGAGCATCGGATGGTCAGATATAAAAAAGAAGACAGGATATTAGAATGAAATGCTTTTCTATTGAATATAAAGCAAAGCAAGAAATTAGGTAGGTGGAGTAGGTACTCTGACGGGTCCAATACACCAGCAGCAGACGCCTTTTCAGTTTATTGATTCTTCAGGAAGTAGGCCTGCGAACACATACACACAACAAGCAAAACCGTTAGACACAAAAGCAGGTTCTCTTCTTAGCCCGCGCAAGCATGCATTACTCCATGCACATTGCACAGCATGCCATGCGGCAGCCACCACGAAACAACCATGCATAACAAGCAACAACACATAACAAGCACAGCATGCCGTCATGAGCAGACAAAGACACAAAACCCAATAAACCAAATAAATGCGCTGATCCAGCACGTCACAGTACCTACTACCTACACCACATTCCACAACATTGTCTTGCTTGTCTCAGAGACTCATCTAACAGAAATCATAAGCAACGCATCCATTCATCTCTCTGGCTACACTGTCTTGCGCAATGACAGCGGATCATCTAGTACTCACGGAGTATGCGCGTTCATAGCTGAACACATACATTTCGATCAGGTGGACACATCATTCAAGAATGTTCTTTCATTTCGTCTGACGAAGTTCAACGTCTTTGTATACGTGATCTACAGACCTCCCTCACTCACAGCAGCTGAAAACAACTTACTGATCTCATTTCTCCAAGAGAGCTGCTTGGGGAGGGAATCAATTCTTCTTGGTGACTTCAACCTGCCGTCACTGAACTGGTCATCACCTGAGGGCATGCTAGGGGAGGGAACAGCGTCAGACATCCGCTTTTTGGACCTGTTTGACTCTCTTGGCATGACGCAGTGGATCACCGAGGCTACTTTCCCCCGCTCTGGTAATATACTGGATCTCATCTTCACCACCGAGCAGGACAGAATTGGAGAAGTTTCGGTTCTCCCTCCACCTCCCGGAAGTGACCACTGCACCATTCTCTGTCGCTATATCTTCGACATCGACTTGCAGGAACGACCCACCTGTCCGGCCCCTCTCCTGGCTTGGCATAGAGGAAAGTATGATAAAATAAACAGTGCCCTCGCCGATGTTGATTGGGAGGTAGAACTTCGGTATTTATCAGCCCAACAGGCATTTGAGCATCTGCTGGGAATAGTGACTTCGTTGATCAAGAGGTATGTTCCCACCAGGAAACAAGGTTCCCAGTCCAAGAAGCTGCCTTGGAAGAGAAACCCCCCAAGCTCACTCAAGCAAAAACGGTCATCGGCATGGGCGGCCTACAAGAAAGCCAGAGAAAACTACGGCAGGAGAGCAGCAATCACCAAGTCTTTACTTACTTCATTCCAAGAAGTGAACAAGGAGCTACGCAGCTTTGCCTCGCGCTCTCAAATCGACTATGAGAAGTCACTGGTGAGTAAAATGAAAGACAGCCCGAAGCTCCTGCACTCTTACCTGCGCCACAAGAAGCAGTACCGTTCTTCGGCAGGTCCTCTGAAGGCTCCCTCTGGAGCAATCACAGACGACCCGAGCTCGATGGCGGATATCTTCGTGAACGCTTTCGCAAGCGTTTTCTCGTCTGAGGTTCCGCGAAACCCCTTCACTCATCAGCTCTGCGACTCTGTGCTGGCAGAAATCGCTTTCACTCAAGCTGATGTTGAAGCAGTTCTTCGCCATCTGGATCCCAACTCAGCAATGGGCCCAGACGCCTTCCATCCACAACTATTGAAGGCGTGTTGTTCGACCTTGTCATACCCACTGTACCTCATCTTCTGTCGAACATTGTCAACGGGCTCCTTGCCGCTGATGTGGAAACTCTCACACGTGGTACCAATATTCAAGAAAGGCTGTCGCTCGGACCCATTGAATTATCGTCCCGTTAGCCTCCTGTCAGTACCCGCCAAATGTCTTGAACGGCTCATTTTTCAAAGACTGCACTCGTACCTGATGGACAACTCTGTTCTTGATGACGCGCAATTCGGATTCAGGCCCGGACGCTCCACCGAGGATCAACTTCTCCTCACGTACGATTTCATCTGTAAGCAGAGAGACAGTGGGCATGTAATTGATTTAATCCTGTATGACTTTTCTAAGGCTTTCGACATGGTGTGTCATTCGATACTCCTTCAAAAACTGCGCTGCATTGGGATTCGTGGCGAGCTCCTGACTTGGATTCAGGACTTTCTGACCGGCCGCATCATGCAAGTCGTGGTGAAACACTCACTGAGTTCACCAATGGAGGTGAAGAGCGGCGTTCCGCAGGGGTCCATACTCGGACCAGCCCTCTTTCTGATTTTTATCAACCATGTCGCGTCCCGCCTACACGCCGCCTACAAGATATTCGCAGATGACTTGAAAGTCTACATGTGCATCTCTGACTCAGGGTCCCATGCAACCAAGTTCCAGGAAGATATAGATCTCCTTCAAGAGACCGCAGCATCCTGGGGTCTGAGCCTAAATCAAAAGAAGTGTGCGGTCATGAGATTCCAGCGCAGGTTCCACACGTTAACGAGACCAGAGTATCACCTCGATGGATCAGTAGTTCGATGGGCTCGTTCCCATTTGGATCTTGGTGTCACGATCGATGACGATCTAAAGTTTCACGAGCACGCAAGAGTCGCTGCTAGGAAGGCTGGAGGCATAGCTCACAACTTCTTGAAATCGACACTGTGCAGGGAGCGCGACTTCATGACGCACGTCTTTGTGACACATATTCGCCCCATCATTGAGTACGCCTCGACAGTCTGGAACACAGGCTACATTGAAGACGTCCGACGGCTTGAAGCGGTGCAGAGGCTCTGGACACGTCACATCAAAGGCCTAGAACACAAAACATACGAGGAGCGTCTCAAGGTACTGGATTTATACTCGATCAAAGGCAGACTTCTCCGTGCAGACCTTATCAAGACCTGGAAAATCTTCCACGGCCTGTCTCCTATCAAGCCGTTGGACCTATGGGACATGGCTCCAGCCGGTCGCACACGTGGCAACACCCTCAAAATCAAGGTCCAGAGGCGCCAGCTCGACTCGACAAAGCGGTACTTCACGGACAGGATCGTGAAGGACTGGAATGCACTACCCAACTCGACTGTCACGATGAACTCTCTGGCGGAATTCAAGTCATCCCTGGCAGGAATACTTGGCGACAGGCTCTATGAGTACCTCGCCTGAGGACGTGAAGAAATGAAGTACCTGCCCGAGGACAAGCCCTTGGACCGCGAAGAACCACACTGCACAGTGCACACACTTCACTGTCAAAACGACCCATCTACTCATACATGCTTCTATGCAGACGCACTTTTCCGACCCCCACGAGTCCTTCTCCTAAGAAACATCTAACGTGGGGCGTTGGCGCGTCTCTACCATACACGGTTTCCTTCCCCCTTCCAATTCCATTGGACCGGGCAGGGAAACCAAACAGGTGAGTTAAACAGGTGAGTCATTGTGGATTTTGGAAGCGCAGGATGAAATATTTACAAGTGCCTTGTCCTGACTATGTGCCTGCCTTGCAATTTGTAATGAAAAATTGTGGAAAATAAAAAAGTTAAGTCAAATTAAATGGCTTTAAGGTCCAAGCTGGAGGAAATCAAAATTGCAGATTTGTTGCGGTTCCGCAGAGTTCCGCATTGTAATTCTGTCACTTAAGTGCAATTTGAAGCAGCAGAATGAAACAGAATAATACATAGACATAGCAAAGAGTGTGCCAATGTTTTAATTCAACAGAATTCATACAATACAACTTACAATGACAATACTACTTGATATAAAACAATAAATTACAAAACAAATTATAAAATTCCGTAAAATTCCAATCTGAATCTGTCAATCATGGTATCACTCCAATCATCTTTAAAAAAAACTGTGATGCTCATTAACCGAGGAACTTTCCATTATATTCTACAGTCACGTTCCATTGCACAACAATATACATTTACAAATAAAGCATAAGAATCTTTAAAGGGACACTCCCACCTTAAAGGGACTATCCCACCTTCTAAAATGTTGTTAAAACCAGTTAAATTGTGCCCGACTTTATAGATTGGATGACCAGGAACACGGTTCTAGCATTTATTTTTCATTAAACATCTTAGGCTTCCCATATTCTTAACACAAACTTTCAAATGTGTGACGTCACAGCCCAAAATTGCCTCCTTCCCCAGGCCACATTACTGTCATAAAGCTGATTCTTTTTACTCTGTAGGCACCACAACAAAGTTCAGACCAAGTTTTAAGCGATTTTTCAACGAACAAACCCATTTAAATCAGAATGACTAAACGAGGTGACGTCACACTAACGGTCGCTCCATGTTGAAGATAGGGCCTTGCGCAAGGCCCATTTTCAAATGAAGGGAACGAATTTCTTCAACACCAAGAGGCCGCGGGGGTTGCAACCTAGATAGATAGCGGTTTCTGAACCTCGCCGCAAACTTGGCTATCTCAACTCAAACCCCATGTTAAAGGTGGGATAGTCCCTTTAACATTAGTTTTGAGTTGAGATAGCCAAATTGGTGGCCATGGCCTGCAAATACCGGTTTGGGCACTCACAACATCGACAAATGCTTTAATTCGGAGATATGGAATTTCAAACTTGCAGTTTTCGGATTCTAAGGGGCTAGTGCATTGGTATGCCCCCTTAGAATTTGTGACGTCAGCGGAGATCTAACGATTTTTAAATCTTTTACTAAAACGTTTGGTAGCACGCGGTGGTATATGCTGCTTTGCGCGCAACAAATGCCGCACTTTCAAATAAAGTCGCTAGGAACAGCGGAGATCCCAAAAAATAAACAAAAGTAAAAGTCTAATATCTTGAAAACCGGTGAATATTTTTCGATGAAATTTGGTAGATATTCGTTTTCGCTCTTTCTGAACCGAGCGACATCACTTTCGTGCCAATTCATTAACTTTTTTGAAGGTGGGAGGGTCCCTTTAAAATTTTCTCACACAACAACAAATTCGTTCAAAGATATTATCAAGGTCGCTTGAATTTTTATGCGCAATGTTTTTATGGGGAGGTAGGTTCTAATGCGCTGCCATATTTGACGTCATAAAAAACATACTCGTAGAGGGAATTCTCCACTTTCCTTTGCTGTGTATTTTGAGTAGGTACATTTTGGCTTGACGGCTGACGCGTGTAAAATCGTGATAACTAGGCTAACAGTTATTTTCTCTCGGCTAGAGAACATTCGATATCCGATAGAAAAGCTCTCAGCTCGCCTAAACAGTGTAAAACTTGGCAAATTATGGACGCTTATCAATTTGCATTTTGCAATGCAGCGGCGAGCGGACTTCAGCCCTGATTTTGTGGCCGATCACGCTACGCTAGGGTCGATGTTTCGCGTCGGCGGATGAGTCATGAGGGAGGTAGTCTCTCTAAAGGTGACCTTCCCTAACCTGACCTTGACATCGACCTTTTAGAAGCCTCCGGGTGAGGGCGATACGTGTCATGATACCTACCTATATCTATAGACTATACCATTACCATTTCACTGTTGGGACCTTGAGGGCTGAGGCCTAGGGTTGGTTCATCCGGAAAAAAAAGATGACGAAACAATGACAAGCGCAAGACATTTCGGCATACCCAAAAAGGTCAGGCAGCGCCTCTGTAGACATTTGCAAAAAAAAGAGGGAAAAGAAAATACTACCTCAAGGCTCCATTTTACCACCGCGCGGCCTCAAATGAACTAGCTGAAGGCTTGCACCGTCAACCGTCCTAGATTCCATTGCTTGGCAGCTTGGTGTCAAAAATATAATGTGTCTGGCCGAGTTGGAATGCATCCCCCGTCATGCAATGAATGTTATTATCTCGGTAAATCACTGCTCGCCACCTGTGAGTTTAGGGTCGACAGCAGGAGACTCGAGCCTATGGTAGGGCAGCCGTGGCAATTCCGGTGAGGAATGGGCGTAAATCGGTGTTCCGGTAGCCCTAAATCAGTTTTTTTATGTTCTAATGTGCACCGACAGCTAAGTGAATAAAACCGATATAAACACAAGGATGACACTAACCGTCTTCGACACTCGACAGTGAGTATTATATAATACAGTAAGCATAGTTTTTTTCAATAATCACCGTCTTGAGTATGACTTTTATTTATCGGCTTATTAGATGTCACTGACCGACCGAAATTCTGCACAATTTCGGCTTGACATTTTGTAACAGATACCCGTTAGTGGTTATCTGTTTGAACTCAATATTTATTGGCAGACTGCACACTGTGTGGAAGCCGTTCTCCGCAGCAGCAGCACACTTTGTCCTGTCTGTTACGCAACCCAAGGTCAGTGATCCAGGTGACTGGGAGGTGAAGAAGGGAGGGGAACGGCTGGACCACCGGAGTTTCGCCGCGGGACCGAGGCGTGGTCCGTCGGACCTCCGCTGTCTGTCTGTCTGTCTGTCTGTCTATCTGTCTGTCTGCCTGTCTGTCTGTTTGTCTGTCTGTCTGCCCGTTTGTTCACCTGTACTTGTCCGGTCGTAGCTACGTTTATGTGTGCAATTCATCCTATTTGTTTACCACGGTCATTGAACGATAGCTTAGGAAGCCCTGCGTGTGCCTCGATAGGAGCTCCTTGCCCGAGGCGCTGAAAGCGGAGCGGGCTCAGGGCGGCGCGGTTGGGCGGCGGTGGGGAGGAGGGGGAGGGGCGGGGAGGGAAGACCGGTATGCTGAGCGTGACAGTGAAGGAACGCTCGGGCCGCGGCACGGGTAGCGGCGGGTCGTCCAGTACGGTGGTGTCGTCCGACGCGGAGAGATACGGTGGGGAAACGTTTCTTCCGAGTGAGATAAGTTGTGAGAATTTGGTCGGTTTGGAAACAAGTGATAAGCGCTGAACAAGTGGTAAATGTCCCGTTTTCAAGCGGCAAAAGTTTACTTGAAAGGCAAGCGACTTTTAAAAGTTGTTACGTAACATTTTGCAAAATAAGTTGCAAATACCAACGGTGCATTTGAAGTGTTCGGAAAGCTTTGTGACGTGAGAAAGAATCTTTTAATCTAGCTAAGCTCGGAAAAACAATGACATTCATTAGAATAAATAGGCGGTGACCGCACTTGCCCTACCAGTGAATACAATTGTGCGCCGTTTGTGACCGGACACACCTGTGGCGTGCACAACTGAACTGTTCGTTCACTCAGCGAGTCGCCATGGTCAACACGGAAGGATCAGAGACGCAGCGGCTGATTCAGAAGAATGGAGACCCGGCCTCAAAACACGACAGCCCTGACTATCAGTCCGTGAGCGTCAACAACAGTGGGGCATACGACCAGAAATTTCCAGAGAAGGCAGAGCCAGACAAGCCAGGCAACGATCGCTTCTCCACCACCCAGCGGAAGCTGCTAGCCTGTCTGAGTCTAGTAACGCTACTAAACGGCTCCCTGATCGCCGTCATGATCCCGTTCTTCCCCGTGGAGGCGGCTTCTCGCGGTGTATCTCAGACAGTCATCAGCGGCGTCTTCAGCTGCTTCGCCATTGTCAAGATGATGCTGAACCCGCTGGTGGGACGTCTAGCTCCTAAGATCGGCGTCAGTCGACTCTACAACATCGGCCTGGCGCTGGCGGGTGTGTCGACGCTGGTGTTTGGGGTGCTGGACAGGATCGAAGACACTCAGACCTTCATATTCGCCGTGTTCGCGGTGAGGCTAATAGAAGCCGCAGGCTCGGCGGCGATATCCACCTGCGGCTTCACCATCGCCGGGAGCGAGTTCGGCAGTCGGGTGACCACAGCGGTCGCCGTGATCGGCTCCTCGCTGACGGCTGGCCTGGCGCTGACACCGGCCCTCTGGGGCGGCCTGTACGCCGTCGGCGGCTTCGGCACGCCCTTCTACACCCTCGGAGCGGTGATGCTGCTAACCTCAGCCGCCCTCACGCGCCTGATACCCGACATCGAGAGCGCCGACTGCCAGCAGGCGCCGTTCGTCGCGTCGCTACTGAAGTTCCTCGGCGCAGTCGACAACTGGCTGTGTCTGGCGACGATCCTCGTCTTCGCTGCTGACGTCACCACTGTCGAGTCTGCATTCGCGGTGTACTCTGATCAGGTCCTTGGCGTTCCTCCTTCTCTAGTCGGTATCTTCTTTCTCGTCTCGACCACTCTCTATGCACTGGTGAACCCTCTCTGGGCGCGGCTCTCTGAGAAACGTCCCAGTCCGTTTCCCCAGATGGCTGGCTGTCTTATCGCCTCTAGCGTAGGTATCATCTTCATCGCCCCAGCTGTTCCCCTACCTCCACACTGGCTCATCACCGGAGCAGGTATGATCTTCGAGGAGCTGTTCATTGGCGGTGCCTTCACTCCCTGCTTCAAGGCGATGCTGGACGCGAGTGTTGCGAGCGGTCTCGAGGACAGTGTGGCCACCAAGGCGTTCGTTTCGAGCCTGTTCCACGCCACGTTTTCGCTGGGGATCGCTGTGGGTCCGGTGTCAGGCGGGGCGGTCATTGACCGGTATGGGTTTGCGGCGATGACCGCGGGCATTGGAGCGATGACGGCGTTGTTGGGTGTGGTGATGGCGGTCAGGGTGTTGGTGAAGCGATGAGACAGGGTGTGTTCGTGACGTATGGGAGTGGCGCAGCGTATGTGCTCTCTGTGACGTGTGATAAACGTTAGCATAATATATATATATGTATATATATATATATATATATATATATATATATATATATATATATATATATATATATATATATATATATATATATATATATATAATATCGTTTATCCTCAACTATACATTTAACAAGATTTACTATGCATATTTAACCATAACTACAGTTAATTACACATCGTTAATTAACCTATAACACCTATACGTTACTTATATATAAAATGATACTTATATATAACTTGATGAATAAACTTATACTACTTATATATAAAGATGACATTTAACTCTTTACCGACGCCCTTAGGGACCCTCCCACCTTCAAAAAAGTTTATGAATTGGCATGAAAGTGATGTCGCTCGGTTCAGAAAGAGCGAAAACGAATATCTACCAGATTTCACCAAAATATATTCACCGGTTTTCAAGATATTAGACTTTTACTTTTGTTTACTTTTTGGGATCTCCGCTGTTCCTAGCGACTTTATTTGGAAGCAATAGTTTGGCAGCTGAAAGTGCGGCACTTGTTGCGCGCAAAGCAGCATATACCACCGCGTGCTACAAAACGCTTTAGTCAAACATTTAAAAATCGTTAGATATCTGCGCTGACGTCACACATTCAGAGGGGTATTCCTATGCATTAGCCCCTCTGAATCAAAATGCTGCAATTTTGAAATTCAATATTTCCGATTTAAGGCATTTCTCGATGTTGTGAGTGCCGAAACCGGTAATTGTGAGCCAGGGACCCCATTTTGGCTATCTCAACTCAAATCTAATGTTAAAGTGGGAGGGTCCCTTTAAGGAGTAATTCCGTATGCATAACGAATAAATAAATATGGGTACCTATGCAATCTCAAACGTCGACCCAAGGTATAAGGTATGTATTATGTATGTATGTATGTATTGCATTTGCAGGGCAGTCCACAATCAGTCGTGGCTATTATTGCCCCAAGTCATAAGATAATCGGTAAAATCATACAGGTAATTTCTTATTATATGCATATTCAAGCAATGGCTAATTTACGTTTGAAAGACTTGTATATCATCGCCGCATACTAAAATTGTGGCGGTACGGTATAACATAATAAGCCTTCCGGTAGGAAATTATATTAAACGGTCTTATATAAAATATATGTACACGAGTATATAGTATATTAAACGAAAATTGTTGTAAACGTTCATCTAAATTCTAAAACCTTGAAGTAGCTCAACGCGTCAACCTTCACGCGGCTTCATAGATTCCGATCCATTGCCCTCGTTTTTTTTTTTAATAACCTGTTCCTATATGTGATATGGGGCGGATAGTGAATGGGCCAGATTCTTATCATAGCAGAGTGCAGACGTTATTTATTAGGTCATCGAAAGTAGGCAATCGATAAGAATCATCGATCTCAATGCATGACATGACTTATATGTTGCAAGGCTGACACCAAGTGCAAACGAATAAGTTCATTTACTAATACTTTACAGAGGATTGAAACACAGATGTAACTGAACTATAAACCCCGACCCGTATTGCATTCAACGGTTTCAACCTGTAGGTTTCAACCTATATATATATATATATATATATATATATATATATATATATATATATATATATATATATATATATATATATATATATATATATATATATATATATATATATATATATATATATATATATATATATATACCCTCACACCATCCTGGAAAAAAGATGAAAAAGCCATGCGTGACATCATCACAAAAAACGTCACTCCAGTCAATCCTGAGCACCGCATACGCTTCAAAATTTACTACAAGTCACCACGGACCTCCTCACTCATAATGCGTAACAATCAACAGACCACTACACCACTACAAGAAACCAATGTAGTATACCGTTGTAAGTGTTCTACCGGGGACTGTGCAACCCGCAACGTATACTACATTGGTCACACAACTACATCACTGAGCCGCCGACTGACTATGCACTTACAAGACGGAGGATCCAAGGCACATCTTCATGACCAGCACGGAACCCGACTCACGAGAGACTTACTGACAAACAACACCACAATAATAGCGCGACAAAACGACAAACGACGACTGGCCATCACCGAAACCATCATCATCCGCGACACATCACCCATCATCAACACACACATGAAAACTCTGACAAACATTCCACTGTTCGACAGACAAATGATGTAATGTGTGAAAGTTTGAACGATGTGTCATCTGTGAATTATGATGGTTTGTTGTTGTTATGCGCGACCCAATGTAAATATTCACGGTAACGATGTTAAAACCTGTGTATTTAGCTGGATGTAGATTTGTGTTCGAAAGAGTGGTGCCATGATACAAATAGGACGATGTTTGAAGAAATGTTAATATTTTATTCATCTGTGACATATATTGCGCGGCATCATTTGTGTATATTCATTTCTCTGATGATGATCAATGTTGATCGAAAGCTAAGATAAATATAACAGCGAACGAATTATGAACGAACTTTAATTTACATCCTAATGAGTAACCGATTTACGACAACTTTAATCTCGATCGCAGCCATTGCTTCTTTTGGTGAGTTACTTTTCTCGTTGAACGATGAAGAAAGAAGTACCGTCCGACGTCTCGAAAATGAAACAAAAAAGCTGAATAACACCAAACATGCTGTCGTGTTTAATGACATATATATATATATATATATATATATATATATATATATATATATATATATATATATATATATATATATATATATATATATATATATATATATATCATATATATCATATATATCATATATGCATGTGCCAGGGGACCAAGGGCTTTATATGCAGTACCTACGTAGGTATACCGACATTGACGACATGTTTTAATGACACATTAGAAAAGAGATTAAGATTAAAAAAGGGACACAGTTTGGGATTACTATGCATGTGGTTATTCGACCGCGCAAAAATTCGGCGTAAATCGATCCAAAGGGACTCTCTCTAGAGATGCAACCCAAACGAAATTATTTAAACGTTACCCTTTATGTACACATAACATTTACAGCTTCCGAATGACATAGTTTGGTCAACTTAAATTACTCGGCGTGTGAAAGGCGTGCTAAATGGTATAAAGGCCGCAACACGGGATAGGTACTGCACCGCCGATCAGTCTTTCCGAATTTGAGTCACCACGGAACACAGCTTTCCATATAAATAGGTATGCTAACACATAAATATTTTTGACGTTTACAATAAAGTACGGCATATATGTAGACAAAGAACGCGTCGACAATGGCGGTGTATGCCATTTAGGTAGTAGGTAAATACTGGTGACCGTAAACGTACATGACGTTTACTTTATATAGATTACATATGCACAATTATCTTATTTTTAATAAACCCGGGTTCGGTACAATAATGATGATTAAAAACAGCCATCGGCCGAAAGTATGATTGATCTTCACCCCCACATCGAAACAAACGCGTGGTTTATTGTGACGGACCACACCAACTCCAGCCCCAGAAGGACCAAACTTACAGCTATCGCCAGTGGCACCAGAGCCACCACACCCATCAGGTTACCCAGCGTCACCTGACGAAACGCAGGCTGTCGCTTGCACATCGACTTTTGAACGCTCAGCCACTGATTCTTCAGCCGCTGCAAGACGCCCGTGCTTGCGAGACGAAGCATCTCCTCATTGAGGGCTTTCTTCAGGGCGGGTAGCTTCTTGGAGACGGTCAGATACCCTTTCAGTGGCACACTCGGAGGCGCACGTGGCAGAGGAACCAGAGAGCAGCTTCTTTGCCCCAGCCAGCGACGAAGTTTGCGGGCATCTATGTACAACATCACCTTGGGTCGCAGCAGGGCGGTCAGCTGCTCCTCCGGTCCGGAGAGGTTGGCTACAAGCAGTCGATCACGTTGCTCGTACCGTCGACTCAGCTCGCGTTCGACAGGGTCATGGCTCGCCGCCCAGACACCGATCTGAAGCTGGCCAGGCTCACAGGCGAACTTCCAGTCAGACTGCTTCGCGAAGTCGTCCAGGCTCTCCAGTGGCAAGCCTGGGTGACTGGCGGCCAGGTGAGAAGTCAGGTTAGCCGTGTAGCTCGTGTAGATGATGATCCCAAGAAGCCAGGCCGAGAGGCTCACCAGGCGCGGTGAGAGGCGGTTAGGGGAGTGCTCCCAGCCCTGGCCCACCAGGGTCATAAAAGCGCGAAGAAGGCACAGGCTCCAGGTAGCGGTGTTGTGTTTTGGGCTGGTGACGACTGGTCCGGTCCATCCCGGGCTATATGAGACTGCTTCCTCGTTGATCATCCGATCACCGGTATGAGTATAATTATTCCTCAGATGTCTAGTTTCCGTAAGCCTGCCATCTTCCATGCCCCTTTGGTGAGCCTCGCTTTCCGTGATGTCTTTGTAAATTGAATCCCTCTCACGGTTTAACCTGTTATCCTCGGCTGGTGCCGATCTTTTAGTTAGTCTGTTACCCCTATTTTTTACAAGTGCTTTGTAAAACTTGTTTTTGCGGTATTGTGAACCAGCTCTGTGTTGATACTTCAGCGCATTCCATCCAGTATTCAAGACGTTCTTCAACCTGAAACCCGTCTTCTTTTCACTGACATCCTTTTCACGGCTCTTGCTTGATGTGCGGCTGTTCTCCATCTTCCTTCCGCCCCATCCCGTTCTGAAATTGTTGCCGAATTCCCTCTCCTCATACCGCAACGTCAGCCTCAGAACCATCGCGATGACCAGCAGCGAAGCCACCAGCGTCCACCACACCTGGGGCTTCAGCGGCTCTAGCAGGCTCAGCATCACCTTGACGTCCAGCCTCAGCTCCTCTTCAGGTCCCTGACGCACAAGAAACGTCTCCTCAGAGATATCAATCGGCACTGTGTCCACATAGTCAATCACTTTGTCTCGCTCGGGACTGTGTGCTATCCAGCTAAGTCCCACATCAGCGCGGTTGTACACCAGCTCAGCAGCGAGGCCGGACCAGGTCCCGTTGGCACTACGATGGCCATACCCACCGTCCCATAGAGGTATGATGCGGTAGCGCAGCTGTAGGCCTTCAGCCAGGAGCTGCCACAGGTCCCAGAGAAGGCCGTCGTAGCGGAGACCTCTGTCAGCCCGTTGGTTGATGAAGAGGTAGGGCGGATCGTGGAGAGCCGCCAGACGAAGCTCGTCACTGATGGGGGAGGACCGAGAGATGTCGAAGGAAGGTGGGGATTCTGGTGTCAGTAACGAGCTGTTCATCATCGGAATAATGTGGAAGAACAGAGGCCGAAGCTGGAAACTTAGGTCTCGTGGATTGGCAGCGTACTTTTTTGTCTTGGAACAACACACCTCTCTTCGTAAGGTAGACGTCGAGGTCGGAAGTCTCCTTCAATGATGTACCCCAATGCAACAACACGTAACTTACAGCGACGACAGATAACACTCAAGTTCCGTCGGTTTTCTTGTATCTTCTTCACTCCGGAGTCCTGGGCCAGTTCCGGGCCTGAACTAAACACCCAGGAAGTTAGTTAGCTATACATACAAACCGACTCTAATTCCACGGCGAATAGCTATAGGCAAGAGCTCCGCTTGTCGACAGGCCGCTGCGCTCCCAGACAACCACATGGGTTGCGTATGACCTAACTATGATATGAACCCCACTTTCGGAATAGAACGTATTCCGCTCGAAGCGTTTCCACTCGATGCCCACGGGTAAATGGCCGGATCCTCGGCGCTGTTCCCGTCTCAAATAGCTCCACTATGGCCTCCACGGTGTTTAATGACGGTAGCATTTCAGCAGTGGCCGGCCATTTGATGGTGACAGTCGCGAACCGATCGATGGATGAGTGATGGCCGTAATACAAGGACGATACTGGCGTGTTCTCAATGGCGCTTTGATGCAAGTTCGTCAATGCGCAGAGACTAATCACTTCGATTCACAACATTTAGGTGAAGGGTGCTTGTGACCAGGAAAAATTTGTCAGAAATAACTTTTACGTGAAGTAATCTTGAACTTTTACACCAATCCTACAAGCATCGTGTTTCTCTCATCGCGACGCGCACACGAACTTCTACATGGTGTCGAATGTTTAATGCCGTCAAAACGCTGACCTGACTCCGGGTCACTCACTGTGACTCACATACGCTTATGCAAAAACCCGAGACAGGACAAGTATAAATTGATGACACTGACAGCTTCTCATGGGCTCATGGCTGATGCAATATATCAAGGAAATGTGCTGTAAGATAAGTATGATAAATGATAATTGATAGCGAAGTTCTCTGGTGGCACTGGCACGGCTCACGTCGTGACCTGAACTTGGGTCAAACCAAGGGTCAAACTTGGGCAGGCAGTGGCGGATCCAGGATTTAGTCAAGGGGGCAGACGGTATTATGGTGCCCCCTGGCATTTGGCGCCCCCCCCCTATAAAATCCACGCATTTCGGCCACTTACTCAGGAGGATGGTGCCCCTGAGACCTCGGGATGGTGCCCCTGAGGGCCCTGAGACCTCGGGATGGTGCCCCCCCCCCCCTCAGAACCGGGGAGAGTGCTCCTTCAGACCTCGGATTTCGGAATGGTGCCCCTAGAAACTTGGAATGGTGCCCCCCGAGACCTCGGATTGGTGCCCACGGAGACAGACTTCGGGATGGTGTCCCCGGAGACCTCGGGATGGTGCCCCCGGAGTCTGGACCCTCGAGATGGTGCCCCCTCCGAACCTGGGATGGTGCCCACGGAGAACTCGGGATAGTGCCCCCGGAGAACTCGAGATGGTGCCCCCGCGGACCTCGGGATGGAAATGGCCCCACCCGAGGCCGGAGGGATAGAAATGGGCCTCCGGGAGACCCCGAAAGCGGTACCTACCCTATTCCGATAGACGGTGCCCGCTTCAGCTTAGGAGACCTCTGGGTTGAAGCTCCCGTCGGTAACCTCCGTGAAGAACAAGAAAAAAACTTCTTGATGGGGCCCCCCGGGAGGCTCAAGGGGGGGAGGGCATGGCCGGTGGCCCCCATATTAATAAAGTCACAGATCACCTAAGATCCGTGGTAAAGTAATCTTGCCCATGCCCCCCCCCCCCTCTGGATCCGCCACTGAACGTGGGTCAAACGAGGTTGAAGTTTATGGTCTATCAATGTCACTTTACCTTGAAACGAATTTATAGAGGAGTCAGCCAGTAATTTTATTCAGTACCTTTTTACTCAAATATTTACCCATTTCAGAAAAATGTTCGGATCGCGAACATTCCAATCGCCATTCTCTATTTACTTCTCTATCCATGTTTCAAATATTACGCAGCTGAGACATTTTGTCAGGATTATTTTTGAAACGATATCAATATGATTGACGTCACAAAATCATTAAGCACCTGTTAAAAGGCCGATTACTATTTTGATGACGTCAATACTGATTGCTAAGTTGAAGAATAAATGCACTAAACTTTACGACTGAGCCGGGCGCGGCTTCCTGCGCGTGATCCAAGGCTATATAAACCGCGTGATCCAAGCGTGATAGAGGCACGGGTTTGCTTTCAGGCGGATAGGTGGTTTCGTGTTGTATTTTTGGACAGGGATTATAGTAAGTTACTAATTACCGACTAGAAATGTCGGCCATCACCACTCTAAATCCTAAAGCTGAGGTCGCACGGGCTGCACAGGCCCTAGCTATCAACATCTCTGCTGCCAAGGGTATTCAAGATGTCCTCAAGACGAATTTGGGACCAAAGGGTACAATGAAAATGTAAGTATCTGTTCTTTCTTAAAGCATGTTCTATTGATAAGTGTCTGTGTAAGAACAGTGTTTATGCCTGACAATTCTATATTGATAGGGATAAGTAGAAAAACTAGGAACAAACAGTGCATGGATGCGTTTAGATTGTTATATTTTCATCAGCATGACATGCATGTTCATGCGCATCCGCCATCCAGGCACTATGTGTTCCGTGTTTTTCTACAGTGCTTATGCCATTATCTTCCTTCCATGATGGTGCAAAGGTTGTTAGTGGGGATCAATGCTTGGTGAAAGTATAAAACCATATTTGAATACTTTAAATATATTTTCAACAATGCAAGGTCTAAAAAAGAATGCATGGATGCAAAAATCACGAGAAAGCCTTGGTATGCTGAAACAAATGATCCACTGTTCTGTTGGTAGTGATAAGTGGGCCATGTACATGGTCCAGGGAATTAGTTTGGTGAAATTGGTAGGTACCCACCTACCTATTCTTTAGGTATTTTGTGATACCTGCTTTCAGTAAAAAATAGTATCATACATGGACTGGAAATAAGCTATGTGTACTTTCATGTAACTGTTTCAGTTAATATTCCGTGGCTATTGTTTTTGGTTCATGGTTCATGGCTGGGCAGTAATCGCCACGCCATGTGTGGATCGCCCATGATCGTAAATACATACATACTTACATACATTCATATGATCTTTTTTCAGGCTGGTCTCTGGTTCTGGGGACATCAAAATCACCAAAGATGGCAACATTCTTCTTCATGAAATGGTAAGTCACTTTTACAGCTCTTCAAATGTGATAAAAAGTCTTGACTCTTGAAGGTGTTAAATAAACATATTTGTGGCATCCATTTGTTACATGTTTAACATTTTTTGTTTGTAGGTATCTATTTCTTCAATTTTATTCAATGTAGGTACTTCACTGAATTTTGATGCATAGTTACCACCATTATTTTTTAGCCAGCTGAGGCAGATAGTCAAGCTCTTCTAAGTATGTTTTATCAACATGTCCTTACAAATGTAAGTATATCTTATTTTATTTCCTCATGTGACTTGTGATCCCTCATGTAGTGAATATGCTGCAATTAAAGCAGCCCCATAAGCAAAAAAGTCAGTCACATAAAGCAAAGCACAGTATTGTTGCCAGTGAGCTAAGTTCACAAAAAAATGTTTCATTCAGAGAGCTGTAATCAGCAAGCTGCTAGTGACCCCCCACCCCCCACAGCTAGTTAACCCTCGCCGGACCTATTGGTTTTCGACATACGCGCCGGCCGAGGAGGGGGGCGGGTACGACCCCTCGCTGTTTCGCCCCTGGTGGAGCTAGCGCGTCGCGGAAAAACGAGTGTGCGCCGTTACGAGACGCAGAGATTGGTACCCGATTTTAAGGTCCTAGGTCAACCGGTGACCTCTGAGGTCAGGTCAAGTGTCCCAAGGTACGGTTCAGTTTTTGGTGAATAACATCGCAAAAAACGGCCGAAGAGCCGCGGTTTTGGCAGCATCGTGTTCGCCTGGCTCAGGCGCGCCGAATAATATACTTTTTGTTTGGGTCAGGTCAACTTTGGGTGCTGACCTCAGGTCACGGTCAGGTCAGCGCCCCCAGGTCACGTCGTTGGTCGAAAGAGGTCATGTCGCATATCATTCGATTCGGCAGGTCTTCCTGAGTCCATTGGTGGCTTTCCCGACTCGCTAGCTCAATTTGATCGGGAGTTATTGACGAAAAACTAATATGACCTTGATGACGTCATAAATGACGTCACGCAAGATCAACATTGCAAAAGTGACGCATCTAACCTTGCAAGGAGTGCATTAAATCACGATTCTGTGTGCTTGAGATAGTTGGAGGTCGTTCCCGGCGCCAGAATAGCAGTTTTTATTTTTCCCCATTGACTTATAATGGTGAGGTCATGAAAATGACCTGACCTCATATGACCTTTAGGAAAAATCTGAGATATACAAGCTGTGAGACTCGTAATGGATACTAGATCCTGCAAGTTTCAATTCCCTGTGAAAGCTCCTCTGGCAGTGAGGGCGTTGCGAAGTTGCGACATCTGAAGACCGTGCAGAGGTTCACTTATGACGTCATAGGTCAGTGACCTGACCTGACCCGAAAATGCGGTTGGTGTCAAAAGATCGGGCTTGAATCTAGATTTCACTCTGCATTAAATCAGCACCAGCTAACGCTATCTCCCTTTTGACCGACAGCAAATCCAGCACCCGACGGCGTCGCTGATCGCGCGCGCGTCCACCGCCCAGGATGACGTCACCGGTGACGGCACCACCTCCACGGTGATGCTGATTGGCGAGCTGCTCAAACAGGCCGATCTCTACATCTCCGAGGTGAGTTCGTTGGATTAGTTAGCAGTTGGATCTGTGGGTGAGTTGGTGTTTTTTTTTTTTAATAGTTTAGTTGTTTTCTTTTTAGACAGACGAGCTGCTGAAGCAGGTGAGTCATCAGCGAGCCGCCCAAATAAATCAGCCCATTGATTTCGAACTTAAGATGGTTTCGCTGAATGAGCGGTGAAAA